GCAGGCGAGGCGCGGTGTTTGGGCAGTATCATGGAAGCCTCCGGGTCGGCTGGGTACTTTGGGGGTTTCGGCGTGGCATCTTGAGGCGGCGTCATGGGAGGCTAGGGCGATGCGCCCGCGGGGTTCTGAATGCACGCGGGACTTCTGAGGCTGCCGGCATGTATCCTGATTATCGTCGACGGGCTTGAGGCGACAGCGAGCCGTCAGTAGTCGAATTCGCTATTTGGTTTGGAGCGGCGCGTGTGTGTGACGACGTTGGGGGTGATGCTGGATCGCCGTTGCGGCCGCTGCGCTTTGTGACTGGACGAATTGCGGCATCTCCAGCATCACTCGCATTTGTCCCCCAGTACCAACGCTGCGGCTCTGCAACAATTCGCAAACCCTATTTTGCCATCTCCAATCCCCTTGCACTCTTATTTTCACCCCTTGCAGTGCTTTGCTGGCGCACAAACATCGACCCTTCCATCCTGACTCATATGCATGTCGTTGGTAACTCGAGCCTGCCGGATTCGTTCACCCCCAGCGTTTTCACGACTTTACAAACGTGACTTCCCGGCATTACCTGCACGCCCTCGTTTGACAACACACCTCACTGACAGAGCTCTGTATTCTCTCACCGCGTCAATACCTCGCATGTCGAGAGCAAGCCCCTCGCCTGAATTACAACAGCCGAGCCCCAAAAGACGCAAAATTGCTGCGCCTTCACCAAAATTCATCCGCCCCTACGGAATCATGACTTCCTCAGAGGGCGCCGGGTCGCCGCAGCTGGAGCTGACAGAGGTCGAGTCCAAGTTACGGCAGCTGCTGCTGGATGTAGCTGCCTACATCGACGAAACCCCCTCAAAAGAAGATGTCAGTGGAGTCCAAGTACCAGCAGAACTTGCAAAAGAAAAAATTACCCTACGTTGGACGGGAGGATGGGTGCGTGACAAACTACTCAACGTCGGCAGCCACGACATCGATGTAGCCATTAACAAAATGACCGGCGAGCACTTTGGTCTAAAGATGCAAGAGTACCTTGAAATCCCAGGCAACGCAGAAAAGCATGGTCTCATCGAAAAGAGCGATGGGCTGAGCGCACGCGACAAGACGAAGAAGATTGCACCAGGTCTACACAAGATTGAGGCAAACCCGGAGAAGTCTAAAAACCTAGAGACTGCTACCACGAAAATCATGGGTATTGATCTAGATCTTGTCAATCTCCGGAAAGAAACCTACAACGAAATCTCTCGCAATCCCCAGATGGAGTTTGGTACTGCAGAAGAAGACGCTATGCGCCGCGATGCTACCGTGAATGCTATGTTCTTCAACCTGCATACATGTCAAGTCGAGGACTTTACAGGACGCGGGCATGCCGATATGGCTGCCAAGATTATCCGAACACCACTGGAGCCCTATCAGACTTTCAAAGACGATCCGCTGCGAGTTTTGCGGCTGATTCGTTTTGCTAGCCGTCTTGACTACACCATCGAGCCCGAGACTGCAAAGGCCATGGGGAATCCGGAAATCCAGGAGGTTCTGAAGATCAAGATCAGCCGAGAGCGTGTGGGCATAGAATTGGAGAAGATGCTAAAGGGCCCTAGACCTCGAATGGCCCTGGAGCTTATTGACCGATTTGGTTTGTACCGGACTGTCTTTACAGATCCAACACGTGAACTGCCCACAGAACCTGAGACTGCCTACTTCAAGCCAGGATATGAGGTGGTCGAATCGGTGGTTACAAAGAGTGGCGACGTGCCTACAGCTGTCTCAGATACTCTGTTAAGGAACGAGGACGACAAGTACCTAGCCTGGGTCTGCGCTACCATGATGCCTTGGGCAGATGCCCCCACTGTGCCCCATCAGAAGCCTCTGCAGCGGCCATATTTTGTCGCTTATCTTGTTGCAAGGGAGGGATTCAAAGCCCCAAACAAGGTGTGCGATGTCATTGCTTCGTCGCTGAGTAACAGTGAGGAGATTCGCAACCTCATTGCTCAGTGTGCAAAAGGACTTCGACGGCCCGACACCATCAACCCAACCAGTGACCCCACTGCTAGAGATACTCTAGGAATGGCCATTCGGCGTTGGGGGTCAACTTGGCGGACACAAATACTTTTCAATCTTATCTACGAGGTCGTGCTCGGACGGGTATCGAGAGCAGGTAAGCCAGTCCACTTCAGTCTTCGGTTTGAACTATGCTGACCGTATCTAGACCTCTTCCGCTCGTATGCCAGCTTCCTTAACCGCGTCACCGAACTCAATCTCCTCGAGGTCGATACCTTTAGGCCCCTCATCAAAGGAACCGATCTCGCAAAAGCACTCAACACTAAGCCTGGCCCGTGGATGAAAGAAGCATTGGATGTCGTCATGGCCTGGCAACTGCGCAATCCCGACACTGCCGACACGGCGGAGGCTATCGAGGCCGTCAAGGCTTCGAGAAGTGAGCAAACCGAAAGTGAGCTTCCCCTTCGCCTAGCCTCACACTTTCTTCAGCTTACCATCCCACCTCTCTTTCCGCAGAATAAACCCACGTCGAATGCATTAGAAGCCTCGCGACAACCGGCTACTTGGAAGGATGCTGGAAATCAGTACGCACTCGACTTGTTGGTATGGACAATCCGGACGCTGGATAGGAAAACAATCGAGGCCAAATGGCAGTTTCTGATGCCCCCAATCCTTAAGATGATGGATGACATTGATGTGGAATGGAAGGCCAAAGGCTGTCACCTGCTCGGTCTGTTACTCGAAGTTTTGCGCCAAACACCAAGTAGTGATAGCTCACAAAAGGCTATCATGCAAAAGTCTAGCTCGACAAGCTTCCTCCAACGAAGCGGATATCATAACATCTTCGCTGAAGCCCTTCTGCCCATGTTCACGTATATTCCTTCAATCACACCAGAGAAGGAATCGGTGACATTGTTCCGGGAGGTTTTCCCTGCAGTAATTTCGCTTGCTTTGCTGCTCCCCGAAGAAAACAGCAAAGGCGATAGCCGAGAGCTGTTCTTAGACAGGATCCTGCGAGAAGGCGTTTTTTCGCCTCTTGGACATTTCACTACACCCTCTTCGTACCCCGAACTTGCTACTTTGATCATGTCACAGGTCTCCGTTGTGGTGAATCATATGGGCATCAATACAGTCAAGCACCTACCGGATGTTTTGCCTTTGGTTTCGGCGATTCTACAGGAACCTTTTGTGCTTGCCCACCAGCCACTAGTTACTTCAACTCTAAGAGCACTGCAGAGTGTCATGTTGAATGCTTGGCCAAGATTGCCTGGCCATCGCGGTGCGATTATGATGGGCCTGTGCTTATTATGGATCCTATGCTTGGAAGAGGAAGAAAAGCCTGGTATTCAGCCTGTTGACGAAGTCAAGATACAGGTTCAAGAAACAGTCGCGATGCTGGACGCCGTAATGCAAAGCGCGGATGAAGCAGGCATAGTGGAGACATGGACAAGAGAAAAACAGGATTTGGCTGGGACTCGGGCAGGATTTGACGAAATGTTCGGACAATGTGTGGAGAAGGAGCCTCAAAACCAGACGGACGCTAGTTAGAGTTCTCTATCAGGTTCCCACGTGAAGACAAAAAACAGAAGTGGTCGGATGCGGAAAGCTCCCATTGCTGGCCAATCGGCTACTGGACCTGCAGCGTGACGACACTGCTACAAGGGCATTTCGATATTTTCATATGAACCCCGCATGCGCGTCTAACTGCTTTGGCGGTGCCGCGATGTAGGATGCGGAAGCTGGTAATCAACGGCATGGATTCGTGAAGAATTGCATCAGCAGACAACGTCGAGCTTGGCTGGTTGCCGCAGGGCGTGTGGCGGTGCGGGGAGGTCGAGAGAGAGATGGCATGGCATGGCATGGCATGGCATGGCCTGGCAGGGTCGAGCTAAGTAAGTAAGATGTGGGATCCGGTGCTTTTCAGATAAAGTGCGACCCTGAGTACCAGATATATGGACATGTTCGTACATCTCCTACATGATACTAGCAAGTGGTCACCAATCTACTGCACACGTGGGGTCCGCCAACATCCGGCAGTGACAATGCACGATGGTGTTCGCGACGGGGAGAGTGGCTGGTGCAGATGGGCTGCGCCAACGCTAAGCGGGCCGCACACCCCTGACATGGCTGGACCTGCCATTGGACGCTTATTTTAACGGACGCGCGTCTTATGTTGAATAAGATGAATCCCGGACGAATGCGTGATATCAGCATGACGCCTTGAGGCACTCTGAACATGGGGAGTCGCATCTAGTAGGTATATTCGGAAACGGAAGACAGGTCTTCCAGGCCATCCAAGGGCGGCGCTTCTGCGGCGGAGTCGTCTTGTTGCCGCCACATCATACGTATGCATAGGGACTGCTGCAACGACGGCGCAGGCGTAAAGTACACGACAACCTAGCGGAGATTTAATCCGCGCCATGGGTCCAGGTCTAGAAACACGGGGCCAATAGCAGAGACGGCGCTGGCGTAGCTACCCGTGTCTTTTTTGGACGCTCTTTTGGGCAGTGCATGTCGCGCCTTGTCTGGGGCAGCAAGCGTGGCGGTGCTTTCAGGGCCAGCAAAGTCGACGATGCGCAAGCAGAAACAGGCTGGCGCCGCAGAAGCAAATTACATACTCGATGCCTAAACACACAACCCAGCGCACACATGCTTCACCCAGACGATACAAAGAAAACCCGCTGCTCCATGTGCAGCGCGTTTGGCGCATGCAGAGTCTCGACGTCAGGTCGATCAGCGGAGGAACTCTCCAAGCTCGGACACAGCCTTGTTAGGCCGGTTTACTGACTGGATTGTGCACCCACCCCCCTTGATGGGGCGCGCCCATATTCATCCCGCTGCGCCCACCGCAACTCCTTGTGCTGCTGCCGCTGCCGCTGCCGCTGCTGCTACCAACTACCTCACATGTCCTCTGCGCCAGCTGCGACACCCCTCTCGATCCATTGCGGCAGCCCTCGACTGCCACCCCAGCACCTCGAGGCTCTGCGCCGCCAGTGCTCGCCATAGCAAACCATCCCATGACCATGGCCAGGGCTTACGTCGCGTTACTCAACTCCACGACAACCACGACGACGTGTCTAGTTGGCTCGAACCAGGACATCACCACACTGCCGACCCCCTCGCCGCCCCCGCCTAAGCCATACAACCTCACCGCCCGCTCCACGCCCGCCTCTGCCTTCCCCAGGCCCAAGGACTCCGCCCCATATACCTTCTCAAGGCTGCCAATGCCTCTCGAGCTTGCCATCTCCTCGCGGGCGCATTGGCTCAGCCGAGTGCGCTCATGTCTCCGCCTGCTCATCATCGTCCTGAGCGGCGCCGTCGTCTGCATGTTGATGCACACGTTTGAGATTTATCGAGGCAACCGCTACATCGACCTGCGCAAGGGAGAGTTGCCCATGGTCTGGCCCGCCCACACAAATCTCGCCCCGAGCATCGTGCTCTTCTGCATTGCCGCCGCCAACTTCCTCGCCTCGGTCGCCATCCTCACCCTCTCCTTCAAGCGCTCCTTCCGTCGCCCCTTTCGCTCACGAGATGTATATCGTGTCGTTGCCGGCAGCTTCGGCGTCATCACCTGGATCACAGCGCTAGTGGTATTCTACTTGCTCAACAAGGCGAGCAAGGCCAGCTTGGGTCGATACTCGTGCACAAATAAGAACTTGTTGACAAATGGGCGATACCAGTATCGCGCTGTTTGCGAGGAGCAGGTAAGACTTTGCGCTCGTCGAAACCTGCCTATAGCATTTGCTAATATAGTATGTAGGGAGTCGCATTCTACACCGCCATCGGTGCTGCCTGTGCAGAGGTCCTTACGCTTATCACCCTCGCCATTTCTGCAGCCTTGTCGGCCAAGAACAACCAGGAACCAGTCCCGACGATACAGATCCGCGAGAAGAATAACTCCATAAGCTCGGGATCAAAGTACAATAGGCCTCTAAAACGATGACATACAAAAAAATCAACGGTCCTGTTCGATGGTTCTTGTCCTCCGTTGCGCGCTCCGTTCTCCCTTTCCTTATTATGTCGCTGCATGATACCCCGGACATCCTTGTTTAGCGACAACAAAACCGAGATTTGCAATGGCGTTTTCTGGTTTCCTTTGTTCAGGGCCGCTGGCCTATTGTCATGACCTTTTTTCTGCATTGCGCTTTTTTCTTGTCACTTTTGCATCGCATCGCAGCATCGGCATATCCTCGGAGTCTTCTGCGACTTTTTTTGTATAGTGGCATTTTCTGATCAACCAACATCGCACCCTATCACGCAAGATCAAGCAAGCCCATAGGAAGGGCCTATACCAAGCTAGAAAGCGCTGCAGCCACTTTTTCTGGACTGCAGCCTAGATATAGTCCTTGTAATTGGAGCAAATAGAGGGATGTAGCCTTCATTTCAATCGGCTACATAGATAGTAAAACAAAAATCAAACAATGAGAAAAAGCATCTTTCCCATTTGTGGTGATGTGTGAGGTTGTCGATGTTTACGCACGTCTAGACTCGGTGGTGAATCCATACAGTACGTAAACGGCCATGGGTCCAAGCTTTGGGCTTTGCGCTAACCGACATCCCTGCAAAGGCCCGCCGAAATTCAGATGCTCGAACTTTTCGATGCGTGCAACGCGACATAACTTGCGCCATGGGGAAAAGGACCGCCTATGACGCTCATGCCAGGAATGCGCATGTGGATCGCGAGAACAAACGCCAGAAAATCGATACCAACTATGAACGCAATTCACCACGGCCAAATGGCAGTGCCGAGGAAGTTACCGCTGCGCGCGACCTGCAGAATGCTCTGTTCTTCGACCAGAGTTCCCAGAGCAACTTTCGAAGCGGTAAGTATAGCTGTTATTATGAGATATTAGTAGAGACTCATCAGTATAGGCCTGAGCTTGTTCAAGCGTTTCCTCGATTCCATCCTTTACCCGGCCGACGAGCACGATCTGCCCCGCAAACGAGCTATCCTCCGCGAGTATCTGGACACACAAAAGGGAAAAGGAAGAGATGAAAAGGACAAGGCTTTCTTGCCGAATCTTACTCAGGCATGGGATTATGCGGTCGAGACCAACAACAGTCCTATCGTCTCTCAGGTCACCGCTGTACTCGCACTCTTATTCAAGGTCTTTTCTAGCCACGGGGATTTCCTAGATTACGGCACACTTTTGGCAAAAACACTCCTGCAACCGTCCATTGCGCGCCGCTTCGTGCGCAGTACTTCGGCTGCATCCAAGGAAGAGAACGTCATTGCGCCTGCGCTCCGTCTGCTTACCGAGCTCACAAGATTCAATGAAGGCGCTCATGCGAGGGCTGTCTATGCAAAAAGAGATTTTACCCTCGAACCCAAGATTCTAGGGAGAAATATCAACCTGAGCAGAGAACAATCGGTAGCCGACCATGTCAAGAAACCAAGCATCCGAACCACGGCGATCCGATACCTCTTGATGCACCTAAGGTACCAGGATGAACGCGCGAAAAGCGAGATACTTTCCAATACCAACGTTGTGCGCACCGTCTTCGACCACATCCGCACAGACCCGCCGTTTCTGATCTACGAGATACTCGATGTGTTCAGAAGCCATGTGTTCCAGGACAAAGCAATTACACGACAGACCAAGAGCAGGATCTTGAGCGGAAAGACACTTTCGCGGATAGCAAGTTTATACAGCTACGAACCAGAAGAGGGGTCGCTTTCAGAAGAGCAAAAGGCACCCGACCAGCTCGCTCATGATTTCTTGCGTCTAGTGTGCACCGATCCCGCATATGGTGTTATGCTGCCCACGCAGGGTTTCTATCCATCTGCATTTGACGACAACGAGGATGAACAGGATGATGCAGCTGATTACGGCAATGACCTGGGGCTCGACACCGTTGGCAGTTACAGCAAGATAACAAAAGTACGGAACATTATCTTGTCAGAGTTCATTCAAAGTCAGAGACCATATGCAAATACCCTGCATCAGGAGCTTGTTGTGGATATATTCCGAGCTTGTCCTGAGTTAATTGCAGACTATTTTATCAAACGACGCGACTTCAGCTACGACCCCAAGCTCACGTCAACCTGGATCGGCTATTCAGCATTTCTGTATCAAACCATCCAGCTACCAGTTCCAAAATATTTTGGCGCGAAGAAGAACTATCGCGACTATCCTCCTCCAGTGGCTGTGCTGATGAACAGCATCCTGCCCCAGCCTCTGAACCAGCAAGTACTCACAAAGTGTCTCAACCACAGCTCAGATCTCGTGCAGTTATTCGCGATGCAGGTCTTGATTGTGGCCCTTCAGAAGCTACGAGGGATCCTTCAAGAAATCAGCAACGCCAGTGCTGTGAAATCATCTAAACAGTGGGAGCAAGTGTCTAAGCGTCTAGTATCAGACGTCAGCCGACGTTGCCCAGCGATCCGGACGGTCTTTTTGGCGCTCAAGAAGCCCGGTCTCAAGGACATGAAGCGAGAGTCAATCACGAGATTATTGCGACTTTACTACGAGGTGACCCCTCAGGTCGCACTTCAGGAGAAGTTTGATGTATCGCTGCCCCTGTGTAACGCCTTGGTGGAGGCCGAGAAGCCGACTGCATCGCCAGAAGACAAGGTCTTTCGCATCATGGAACTTGAACACTGGATACAAATGGCGAGGCTGTCGCCAGCGATGCGCTGGTGGCAGAAGCAGAGTAGGTTTTTACCTTATCCATGACATTAGATGGCAGACCCGACTAACAATTACAGAAACGCTTTCATACTCGCCATTTGTCACACTTTTGAAACTACTGGTAACATCAAAGGAGAGCGAGCTCTATGCAGGCATCCGATCTCTGTTGAGCGACATCTTGCAGGATCAGGAGATGCTGCAAACCAAGACTTCGCCTGATGCGCTTGACGCACTCATTGCCAGTTTAGGATCAACGTCAGGATCAAGCGCATTCTCAACCGAGGTACTTGAGTTCCTGGATGACTGCTGCGCGCGTTTCACCAAGGTGCCCATTAAGTACTTTGACGATTTGGATGTCATGTGTGGCCGCACTGGACAACCTGCAAGCGACATGGGGCCGTTTAGCAACCTGCTGATGACTCTAGTGGAGCAATGGCCGTTCAAGGGTGGAGAGACAGCAACGAGTAACGCAGCCGATTCTCTTGCACAATGGCTATCGCGACTTCTCTATCTTCTCAAACTCATTGGCGAAGATGAGAGGATGCTGGGCCAGGTCCGCGACGCCCTTGTTGAATCAGCCAATGCAGCATACAAGGAGGTGCTCAAGGATGCTTTCCTATGGAAGATGGGCAAGGAAAAAGCCAAGGAATCATTGAAGTTGGCAACTGGTGCAGACTTCAGTGGGTCGGAACGATCATCGACGTCACCTGTGCCAGTTGCAGTGCGAGCACGGGAAGCTGAACAGCAAAGTAGGACGAGATCTGCGGTCGATCTAGAGGCACCCCCAGTTGAAGGCGAAAAGCACACAGGTCTGATACGCTGGAGGAAGAAGGAGCTGGGCGAAGCAGTTGAAGACGGTGATATTGGAGAGTTGATTCTGTGTCTCTGCTCCGAACACGGTGAAATCCGCAAGCAGGCCATCAACAACATCCGACAAGTTACAGCAACAATCAAGTTCAGCAGTCAAGGAGATGGTTCTGGAGGGGATGCCGGAAGCAGCATCAACCTTGATCTTCAACAACTCTATCTCCTTCTCGGTGAGCTTTTGGAGTCTATTGATGAGACTGGTGAGGAGGCTTTTCCGTACGTTGGTGGCGTATTGGCTGCGCGTTGCGCGAGCATCGTTGCAGACCCGACTCACTCGCTTTTCAGCACAGTCAACCGATTTCTCACTGCCTCACCGGCGTGGGATGTCAACTCTCTGTTGCGTTTCTTCTGGCACCGCATTGTGGCCAGTCAGCCAGACGATGACACAACCTATCACAAAGAAGTGGATTGGTACTTGGATTACTTGATGGATAGTTTGAGGACAGGGGCAGACATGGAGTTGTTCAGGAGAAGCAACATATTTGAACAACTACTGAGCCACTATGGGTCTCGGTCATGTTCGGCGTCTGCCAAAGACAAGATTGTGAAGCTCCTGTTGCGGGCGACACACGTAGGGGGAAGCACAACGCTCATCACACGATGCGGACTGATGGCTTGGATCCAAATGATGCTCGACGGACATGACGCGCGACAGGGTGCCCTGAGGATACTGGCAGGACGTGTTTATGAGACATGCGATCAGGAGAAAGTGGCAGCGTGGAGTAGCGGTAGTCTGGGCAAGACGGTAGCTTGTCTGACCAAAGCCTAAGGATATACATGATATCTATTTAATTTTTTTTTGGGCATACTACTAAAAGGCCCACGGTTGACTGAAGTTCTGTGCCACGGCCAAGTCACATGCGGTGAACCCTAGAATGACGCACCTACCGTGTTTCCGCACCAGGTCTTGGCAGGGCTCTCTGTCGTAGAGGCCCGCACCACTGGCGACCCAATACACACTGTCATAACAAACTCACGCTACCATTTCCACGCCCACGCTTCCCCTGTTTCCCATTTGCGCCTTTGGAGCGACGACGACATTTTTGAGCCGCAACCACACCCGCCCTTGGCACAAAGTCACGACTTGGGAGCTGATCCCTCTCCGCTTCAGTCGCCGCTACTGCAGCCCAGGGTGTGCGCTACTCCCCTACCACGTTGCATCCCACCAAGAGCTCATTCACCTCGCTCTCCAGCCTTGCGACACACGCGCGCTTGGACCGAACGCCACAAACCCTGACCCTCAGCATCACGCCTCTCAGCTCTTCCACTTAACCACAACCCACAACCTATCACCCACGCCCGCACACACACAGACGTAATCACATCCAATTGCAAGCGAGTCGACAGCAAGCCACTACCAGACGGCCCTGAAGCTGCCTCTGCCGGCGTCGCCCGGCACTCCAAACCCCCCAATTTCCATCCCGCCCTGCTGTCTCGAGCTTCAGCAGGTCGACCTGCCCCACTTTCATCCCCATGTCTGCGGTGCCCTCAGTCGCGACAATGCGGGGACCGTCGTACTCGGAGGCTCAATTGCTGGCTCTGAAAGAGTCCCCGCTGGTGAAGAAGCCCGATGGCCTGCCGTCAATTTCGCAATGGATGGACGTGCCTGTCGATCAAAATGCCAACAATGGCCACACAAGCAACAATAACAACAACAACACCAATACCAACAACAACGGTACCATGCGTCGCACGCGAGGTGCACGGGAGGGAGAAGGCGCCACGGCAAACGACCAGCGGCCGCTGCACAACCCCATGGGCCAGTTTGGTCGGCGCCAGAGCATGCGTAAGTCTTCTGATGCCCAGGGCATCAAGGCCGCTATTAACGCGCTTTTTGTAGAACCCGGCGAAGAGACTGTGCTCGGCCCGCCAAAGCTAGCCTTCCTCTCAGCCCGCACTCCGGCCAAAGCAGTGGGTGATGCAAAGGAACGCACCGGCCTCACATCTACAGACGGAGACAACGGCGGAGATCGCTTTCCAAAGAACGACCGATGGACCCGAGACCGTGAGACTGATAGGACCCGAGACAAGGGCTACACCAATGGACGCCGCGCCCCGCGAGACGATGGCGAGGGCTGGACCAATGTCAAGGGTCGCAAGAGCCTGGGCCAGGAAGACTTTGAGCGCTTCGGCCGCAATGGTGACCGCAACCGGGATAAGCATGAGGGCGACCCAGAGGCTGAAGCGGCCCCGCGTCGTAATACCCGTGATCGAAACGAGCCGCGATGGGGGCGTCGTGACGAAGGTAGAGATGAGGGAGCAAAGACCGGCGTCCAGGGCGGTTGGCGCGAACGTGAACGAGACCGGGAGCGAGACAATGGCCGCGAATGGACCCGTGGTAGTGCGGCCCGTGGTGAAGATGACCCGGAGTGGATGGACGCCAAGGTGGAGAAGAAGGAATTCAAGCCTCGCACACAAGAAGATTTCCAGCGCTGGAAAGAGCAGATGCGGGCTAAGGATACGCCAGGTGGTGACAAGGACGAGCCGAGAGAGGCTCCTACGGAGACGCCTACTGCAAGCGCTATCACTGCAGCCCCCATGTTAACTGCACCTTTACACACACCTTCTGCTGGCGAACCCACTCAAGGTATTCTCTTCGGAAACTGGGGCAGGGACAAGTCTGCAGAGATGCCACCGGTAGAGAATATCTCTGCCAAACCAAGGGCAGACAAGAAATCGAGGTTCATGACCATGTTCGCCAAACCCGAAGAGCAACAGGCAGCACCAAACCAACCTCCAGCACCACACTCTGCATCCCCCGCACCTCCTATGGAAGCAAATGCTGACAAGGAAGGCTTCCAACGTATTCTTCAGATGCTCGGTCAAGTCAGTACCGGTCCATCACCAGCTCCACTGCCACAAACAAATATGCCTACGCCACCAAATGGCATGAGACAGGGTGGTGGTATTTCCCTGGATTTCCATCAACAATCTCCTCCACCAGACCCGCAACACGGCAGAATACCACCACCGCGAACTCTTGAGCAGCAGAGTATTCTAGAGAACATTTTGGCTCCTCGTCCTGCCGCACCAGAGTCTCGTCAGTCGCAGCAGCTCCGCTTTAACAACATGTCAACAGAGAACCTACACTCTGATCAATTCAGACTTCCCCGCCCCGGTTCCGGTCACCCTGAAGACCATTTTCCTCATCAGCCACCCCCACCACGAACCATCGCTCAAGATGCTAACCTCACCGCTCTCTTGAACAGCCGAGCAAGGGAAGAATCACAACGTGATCAAGCGACGAAACAACGTGAGCGTGACTTTTTGCTAAACCTCATGCAACAACCTTCTCGCGGCACACCACCTCAAGCACAAGGTCACGGTCTGCCTCGTCCGGCCCAAGAGAACCCCAATATGGCTTTCTTTGACCAGCAAAGACAGCAACCACAGCCACCAGCTCAGCACCAGCCCAAGGGCCGCGGCGGTCCTCCCCCAGGCTTTATGGAAGATCCTCGCATGTTTAACGAAAGTGAAATGTTGCGCCGGGATGCTGCTGACCGCCGTGAGCAAATGGAGCTCCGCCAATTGCAGCAAATGCAGCAACAACAGGAGGCTATGCGTTCGAAGAATTCCCGCATGCCTATGGGATTCCCTGGCCCTGAAGATGCTCTCATGGGCCTTCAGCGTCGTAACACAGGAGGTGATCCTCGCATGCCTACCAACATGGGCATTCCTTCGCAGCCCACACCCGATATGCAGTACATGGGCGGACGAGGCCAACCCGGCATGCCACCCACACCCCAAGAGCGACCAAATATTGCTCCACCGCCAGGCTTTGGAGGTCCCATGCGTCAACCACCTGGTCTTGGTGGTCCGACTCCTCCGCAGATGGGCCCCGGAGGACCAAGTTTCTCCGCTGGCAACACACCGCTTGGACACCCTCCCGGATTTCCTCCAGGTGGCAACATTCGTGGATTAGGATTCCCGGGCGGACCTGGTGGGCCAGGAGGTCCAGTAGGACCTGGTGGAAACGGCATGCAAGGACCACCCGGCTACTTTCCACCACCAGGCTATGGTGGGCCGCCAATGCCAGGTATGCGTGGTGGTGAGGACCCAAGAATGATGTTTGATGGCCAGTTCAATGGGCCTCCGCGACAGCAGCCAGGCCGTCCGGGACCACCCAACATGTACTAGGAAGTAGAAGAAATGATGTGCAGTACATACAATATGAAAGAGATGGTACGCAGCACATTGCACCAGAAGAAGAAATGTTACGTAGAGCGAGGCCTGTTCTGATTTGCAAACGCGGCAAAACGCATTGTTGAACGCAAAAGAAAGACCAAAATGAAGCAAACAGCAATTACCATTGCGATTGGGTTAATTGATTAATTGATTGATCTTTTCGGCTACTATGTTATGTATATGTTTGGTTGGTGGCTTACTTGTTGAGCATAGCGTGGCGTCCCGAAGGAAAAACATGTATGCTACCTGCACAAGTCACGTATGTGTATTAATGTAAAGAAATGTGAAGTTTGTAAACTGTATGGTTTTGCTGTGAACTGAGTGTTCTGCCCTATCTTCCTTTCTGCTCTCTCGGTTTTGTTCCTACGTGCTTGTGATGCTTACCAGATGTCTTGTATAGAGATATGAAGTTGCCACTGCTTACTGCATGTAATGCACAGTTTGCAAGAGCGTGCTTCGATGTTCTTGCTTGATTTTGGTTCACGTGGGCGCTCAACCTACTAGTTTAGACAGAGCTCTTACTACAATTAGCCCCCAGGCCAGTTGAATACCTGCCCAGGTTCGCTACTATGCCTCTAGATTGCCATGCCCTAATAGGCAGCCCGCAGCCATGCAACCTTGCGGGGGCATCAGGTGCTTGCTGGCAGCCTGCTCGACGCACTCTGCTCCTCTTACCTCTAACTGCCTGCATTGCGCACCGCAATCAAGCCTGCAGGTATTGTTAGTAGAACATGCTGGAACACGATGCGCCTCCTCAAGTCTTCCACAACGGGCAGCGGCTTCGAGCTAGCGTCCTTTAACGACGACCTCACTCCTCCATACGCCATCCTCTCTCATACCTGGACCGAAAACCAAGAAGTCACCTATGATGAGTTACTCAAGGGAACAGGCACCGACAAGGATGGCTATGCTAAGATTCGATTCTGCGGCGAGCGCGCTGCAGCAGATGGACTCGAGTATTTCTGGGTCGATACCTGCTGCATCAACAAGGCTACCAGCGACGAGCTGAGCACGGCAATTAACTCCATGTTCCGCTGGTACCAACGTGCAGCCAAGTGCTATGTACTACTCGCAGACGTTTCTGTACCCGAGGAAGTCGCTCGCACTGAGACATCTGACATATCATGGGAGCAGGCCTTTCAACGCAGCCGATGGTTCACACGAGGCTGGACTTTGCAAGAGCTACTAGCGCCAAACAGAGTTGAGTTCTTCTCCCGAGACGGCAAGTGGCTGGGAAACAAGATGTCGCTAGAGCAGGAGATACACAAAGTCACTGGCGTACCTGTCGAGGCGTTGAGAGGTCACAGCCTCACCAAATTTAGTATCGAGGAGCGAATGAGCTGGTCTGCAAAGCGCACGACCACGATCAAGGAAGACAAAGTGTATTGTTTGCTCGGCATCTTTGGAGTATTTCTGGCGCTCATTTATGGAGAGGGAGAGGAGTATGCAGCTTTGCGACTCAAAGAAGAGATACAAAAACGGCAACAAACGAGCAAGAAGGCGGATTTGCAAGACACCTCCGGTTTGTATTGGGTAACATTGAACTGCATGGGCCACTTCGCTGATGGTCTACAGCCGTACTGTCACTACCTTTTCCACGAAACGAGCGCTTCGCCGGACGAGAGAGTGAGCTTCAGTCGATAAGACAAGCACTGATTTCGCCTGACACCCACCAATGGCTGACAATATATGGACTTGGGGGATGTGGGAAATCAGCGCTTGCTCTCGAGTTTGCGTATCGCGCATTTGCGGATCAAGCTAGTCGCCTAGTTTTCTGGGTGCCAGCTATAAGTCAGGAAAGTTTTGAGCTTGCCTATCGAGACATTGGAACTCAGCTTCGCATTCCAGGAATCGATGATGCCAATGCAGATTTCAAGCGACTTGTCAGTGATGAACTAAGTTCCGGAAAACTGGGCAATTGGCTGATGATAGTCGACAATGCGGATGACTCGGAAGTCTTGTTGGGAATTGGCAAAAAGGCAACCACACCAGCTCGATTAATCGACTATGTTCCCCGTGGTACAGGAGGATCTGTGCTTCTCACTACTCGCAATAGAAAGGCAGCAACAGACCTGGCCCCAAATAACGTCCTCGAGTTGAACGACATGGAAAAGGTTGAAGCCAAGCAGCTTTTTGTCCGCCGAATAAACAACCAAGCCTTGCTGAATGATGAGACAACTGTTGATGCCCTTGTAGAGACTCTTACAGGCCTGCCACTGGCTATCGTGCAAACAGCTGCTTTTATCAACCAGAACGAAATGCCAGTCTCTGAATACGCATCACTGCTTCATGATGCCGGCACCAAGGTCGAGCTCTTCAGCGAGCAATTTGAAGACCCTACTAGGTACTGAGACATGGACAGCACTGTAGCGAAGACGTGGCATATCTCTTTTGAGCAAATCCAGAGGCAAGACCCTCTTGCAGCGGAGTACCTTTCGTTCATAGGATGCATTGATCGCATTGGCATTCCTAGGTCGCTATTACCGCCGGGAGAATCCGCTGTGCGGCAGACAAAAGCAATTGGAACACTGACTGGATACGCGTTTATCACAGAGCGACGACAGAATGTGCCAGAATCTAGTACGGAGAAGCTTTTCGATATGCATCGACTAGTACATATGGCGTTGATATGGTGGCTCGAGGGACACGGCAAGCGGGAGGAGTGGGCAGGCATAGCAGCAGCCCGAGCTCAGGAACTTGTGCCATATGGCGATCACGGAAGCAAAGAAACATTGAGCATGTACCTTCCACATGCAACGTACTTGGCTGAGCTCGTTGACCTCGTAGACGACTCAATAAGAGCTTCACTGCTAACACGAATCGGCCAGTATCAAGAAACCCTGGGGCTTTATAGATTGGCAGCGGCAGCACAACGAACAGCATTATCGCTGAGAAAAAAAGTGCTATGGCCTGAGCATCTAAAGACCTTGTATACTATGAGCTGCTTGGCGTCTGCCCTGAATGGGTGGGGGAAATACGATGAGGTCGAAGCGATCCGTAGGGAAGAGCTAGCGATACGTGAAAAGGTGCAAGGGCCTGGTAATGAAGATACACTAGGAACTATGGGCGAATTGTCGTTAGTGCTGTATGATCAAGGCAAATTTGACCAAGCTGAGGCGTTGAGCCAACAGACACTAGTGCAGTGCAAGAAGGTGCTAGGGCCTGAGCATCCAAATACACTGGCAGCCATGAACAACTTGGCTTTGGTACTAGACAGACAAGGGAAACGCGAAGAGGCGGAGATATTACACAACCAAGGGTTGGCGATTACCGAAAAACTGTTCGGGCCTGAACATCCAACCACACTAGCAAGCATCCAGAATTTGGCCTCGATGCTGTCTCGCAAGAATCGACACACAGAGGCCGAAGCAATGTACCAGAAAGTACTCAACATAAACAAAAAAAATACTAGGACCCACCTACCCTTCTACCCTAGACTCCATGAACAACATGGCAGAAGTCCTCAAAGGACAGGGAAGATACACCGAAGCCGAGACAATGCACCGACAGACGTTTGAGCGACGAGAGAATCTGCTAGGACCCGAGAATCCAGACACGCTGGATAGCATGTATAACCTAGCTGTTGTATTGTATCACCAGGGCAGATATACTGAGGCCGAAGTAATGTACCGGCAGACGCTTGAGGGGCGAGAGAACGTACTGGGACCCGATCATCCGCACACATTGACGAACCTCTCCGACCTTGCGCAGTGTCTCATGGAACAGAGCAAATACGCTGAAGCAGAAAAGATGAATCGGCAGGTGCTTGAGCGGCGAAAGAATCTGCTGGGACCCGTGCATGTAGACACGCTGACCAGCGTGTCCAACCTTGCGATTTGTCTCAGGAAACAGGGGCTTATGTCAGAAGCTTTGCCCGTGTTGCGCAGGGCATTGACTGGATATACTGCGGTGCTGGGGAAAGCCCACCCAGATACCGTGTCTTGTCGTAAGGATTACAATAATCTTCTTGAGTTACAAGGGGGAGAAAGGATCGAGGAGGGTGGACAGAGGCGTATGCACAGGTCGACTCGCTCATGGCCATTTTTTTCTGGTGTTTTTCGTAGGATTTCCTGTTAGGAATACTTTGGGATCTTCTGTTTTGATTAGGTGACTGAGATGCTGTATCCGTTAAGTTTGATCAGAGAAGAAATGACTGAAGGGAATAAAAGGGGGTAATCGTAATTGAATCAACCAGCAGATTGCACGCCACAAGAAAGAAGATTGAAGAGTTCTTGAAACGGTGAACTTGGATATACTACCACTACTACTACAATATTCCTCTAACCCCTTATGAATTCCCCACAGACAAAGGAAAAGAAAAAGGAGAATCCTCCACGATATTTTTCTCTCTCCACCCTCAGAATACAACCAAGAAAGAAAAAAAAAGAGGTAGGAGAGAAGGGGAGGCTGTGTGACCGTCCACCATTACCACTCACAACACCAGCATGCCAAAGAAACTAACAACAGCAAACCCAGCATAAATGCTCATGGCCAACTTGCCATGCGCAAAGAAACCCGGAGCATTTACTCCCGCCGCCGCCGCACCAGGCGACCCAGAACTCTTTACCGCACTGCCACCATTACCACTACCACCGCTAACACCCGCAGTCCCCTTACCCGTAGCCGTCGGTACGGATCCCTGGCCATTCACGCCCGCCGCACTCAGCAAGGGCGTACAGGCACTCGCGGTAGCCGCCGACTGCGTCTTGGCCCTTCCGGAAAAGGAACACGCATCAGCGCGCTTATTCTGACCGATATAATACTGGTTGGCGACAAACGCGAGTTGATCTTTAGGATCGCAGCCCGAGTACGCGCCGTAATCGCCCTTGGTGGCGTTTCGCGCGATGCCGGCGCAGTACTTTTGGTTTGCACCGCAGATGTAGTTGAAGTCGTTGGGGTAGGCGTCTTGGTTGTCGGAAGTATATGTGCACTGGAGGCTGTCGAGCATGCAGGCGCAGAGTTGAGGGTTGACTGTTGGCGGTAGCGGTGAAGCTTGTGGGAGCCAAGTGCCACCGACGGAGGGACAAGCCGGAGCGGTGTTTGTGGGGTTGTAGTTTGAGCGTTGGGTGGCGGAGGGGGTGACGGAGGCGAGTTGGTCGCGGAGAGAGGTGAAGTCTGGGTAAGGGGAGACGCTGGCGTCGTTGTCGGTAAGTTCGACGAGGCCGTAGTTATTGGCGCCCATGAACCATTCGTAGACTATGCCACCGGAGAAGACGTTGGTCATGTTGCCGTAGAGAACGGGGACTTCGGTGAAGGGACGGCTGGTGGGACCTCCCGGGAGTCCTTCGATGCAGCCGTATTCGGCGAAGAAGACGGGGACGGGGTAGTCGGAGAAGAACTTCACGCGCTCGTCGTAGGAGGAGGCTGTGTAGCTGCTGTTGCCGCACCAGGAGTAGACGTTGTAGCCCCAGAAGTCAATGGAGGTCTTGTTGCCTGCGTCACCGGGCTGGCAGGCAAAGTAATGAGCGAGCTCGTTGCGGGAGGGTACATCAGCGGTAGCATAGCCCACGCCGAGAGTCTTGCGGTAGTTTTGGTTCTGGATGTACGTCTTTGTGTCGCGGACAGCAGCCTTGACAAAAGCAGCAGCAGCAGTTTGGTTATCTGAACTGACGTTCTCGTTGCCGGCGAAGAAGCCAATGACGTTCTTGTACTTGCTCAGCGAGTCAATGACGCCCGTGTACCTGCGGTAGAGAGTGACATCCCACTCTGGGTCGTTTGAGCGAATCGAAGTAGAGGGTTCGCCCAGGTCTGAGACGACGTAGATGTCGGCGCTAGCCAGCTGCGCCATGCAGTCGTCATGGTCCTTGGTGGGGTCAATGGCATAGACACGGATGACATTGGTGAAGAGCTGCTTCAGGTAGGGAATGTCTCGTCGGCAGGCAGCGCCGTCTGCAAGGGGGTCCGTGTAGGTGGCATTGGCGCTGGTAGAGCCGTTGGGACTGTAGTTTTGCTGATAGGCAACGCCCTTCATGAAGCTGCGAGATGTGTCAGTGTGACGTAGTATGCGATTGCAAGTAAATCACCACTTACAATTGCGAGCCATTGTTCGTGTAGAAGAAGTGCTGACCAAAGACCTCAATCTCGGGAATGTCGTCGTAGCTAGCAGCCTGAACGCTACTGGCAGCGAGCGCCACCACTGTAGCTTGGAGCACGCTCTTCCACATGACGGTTGCAGTGGGCGTGGGTAACGAATGTGAGAAATTATCAACGAGTGTACAAGGGCGCAAAAGCCTTCTTGTATGTAGGGGTGTTTGTGTGCAGTGGTGGTGAACAAAGACACGGATGGCTGGCTGAAAGACTGACTAGCTGTTGGAGAGACCGGGGGTGACGGGTGTTTTCATATGCCAGGGACGCGTGTCTCTGGAGGGGCAGGTTTTACAGCATGGGGCTGCAGGTAGTACATACGGGCGAGCGTGCTATTCTAATCACTTTAATGGCGCTGGCCGGGCCGAGGGGACGACGACGTAATAGGATGGTGATGATGTTGGTGGTGGGTGAGTGGGGCTGTGCTACCGGCCCACTTCTCTCTCCACTGATTCCTGGGCTAAGCTTTGCGACCTGTGGCTTGGTCTGGTTGGCTTCCCCGGATTCTGCCTGGCGACGTTGCGAGCTGCCGTTCGTCTAAGTAATTCTACTACATGCACCACTCATCCATCATCCATCATGCTACAAGCTGTCACTCCCATTCTTCTCATCGCTTATGGATGGCTGCGGCACCGAGTTGACGCCCGGTCGTAAGGCCAGCATCCGGCTTCCCGAAGGTGCGCCACTTTCTGCCGTATCCAATGCCGTTTAGCGTGGCCGCGCGCCTACACGCACTACGCGTATACAACAAATATACTACTCACATACGCACTAGTCTGCTCTTCTCAAGCACCTACCCATGTCTTCACCTACGCCCATAATAGTACTCGCCCTTTCTCGTACTTCATTGTCTTATCACCGACTCTTTGCAGTTTCTCAAAACACTGCATCGCCTGCCATGATGACTCCAACGCCACGAGAGGAAACACTACAACACCTTCGCTCTCTGCCCTATATACCTGACCGGTTTTTGCTCAAGCACCAGCCTCAGGATGTGCCACAGCCATGTTATAATAGACCTCGGTGTCATCGCGGCATCCGTTGAGTCTCACCTCCCGAAACGATAGCGTTGGACCAACCCGGATTCTGTGCTTGACGCACCATTTCACCGGCTCCTGTCCAGTAAGGCCGCCACAATTAAACCCTCGTGGCGCAGCATCGCATCCATCCCCTCGGAACTGCCGCGGTTTATGATGCTTATCCTGCTAAGCTTTGATGTCGTGCTGTGATATGCATTAGCTGTAACCAACACTTTGCACTAATGGCTAAGCCCACTAGACTCAATAATCATCGGCTGGGGGCCATGAACAGTAAATATCAAGATGAACCAGTTCAACAACGTTGGCCCGAGGAAAACACCAAGCGTGTGTCAGTGTCCAGCATCTGAAAGGTTTGACACTCGAGAATGACAAGCGTTCGAGACTTGAAACTTGTCGTAGGGACTTGGCCATGGGTCTCCCGGAGTCGACAAGACAGTGCGAAACTTGAACGTGCGTTGGTGACTAACACCAGTCAGAACCACAACTGCGTAATGTGGCGCAGTCTAGTCTTAGATTAAGATCTCGAAAGGAGCCATAGGGTATTTAAACCCCTACAGCCCAATTCTTTGTTCGAAGCCAGGGCCAAAGAAAAGATGCCTGACACTATCACCGCAACGCAGAATTCAGGCTACAACCCTGCCCAGTACCCAAGACCTCTGACAACGTGGCAGCCATAGCCTTAGCGTTCTTATTCATATTCGTGATTCTTCAGTCGAAACGTTGCGCCTGCTTCACTCGCGTCTTCCCTCCGGAAATGTCGAGTACCGCGACCGTGGCGTTCGTCGTTCCGTTGCCTAGGCTGAGCGCATAAACAGAGTCACCTGCAGTGCAGAGATCACCAGCACCCTCAACAGATGCCTGCCGAACCGAACTCATCATAATGGCAATCGCCTCGAGCAAAGCATCAGTGATGAAATGGGAAGAAGAATCCTTGGGTGTAGCCGGAGATATAAACACCACCATGCCCTTGATCGAGCCTCGTACTTCCTTTGTACAAACAGTCTCCGCGCCGCCTTTACGAATCGTTCAACGAGTAAATGTTTAATTACTTACTATTCTCTTAGCAGTCAATCTATTCCTAATTTCTGAATCGGCATGATATAGTATCTTACCTAGGTGGCTTTGGGCCAAAGCAAATCATATACATCGAAGACATCTTGTCCCTCAGCCAATGGTAAATTACGACACGCTTCACATGCACGCGGAAAAATCAAGGACGCCTTGTGCCTAACAATTTCTGACGGATGCGTACAAGCGGGATCGGACATGCGGTGAAGACGAAACCGTGCCTGTATCAGAACATCAAGTGGGAAATGCCATGCCGATCCTTTCTCAAAGGCGTAATTTTGACTCGAGAACCAAGGCTACCTGTTGCAACTAATGCGCAAACCATCCAGCTCTTGGCGCTCGGTTACTGCAAGTAGATGCTTGTGGAGCTGCAGCTGGAGTAGGGAGTGGGGAATGGGGAAGGGGGCGGGAGGGTGAGCGGCCGCCAATGCGACATCTGCTTCAGCAATTTTTTTCTTCCGACCAATTACGTTTGGTAAGATGGAATTGCGACGGGATTGGAGATTGGGTGCAGGAGGGTTTGGGTTCACATATAACGCATTGACGAAGGGGTCGGGAACCCACCCACCCCTTAGCGCCAGTGCATAACGGGCGCCATCTATCACCCTCGGGTCGTTCTGGTTGTTGCAAGATTAACAAATCACATTCTTTCTCCAACTCCAAGGTTCAACGAGGGAACACGTTCTTTTTTGAAGCTGCTTACAGCCTTTTCGACCTGTTTTTTTTCTCGTTGCTCCCATTTTGCTGTTGGACGAAACACCGACCTGAATATCACCAGATGAGGAAATTCGCATTTAAGCCTTTCAAGGGCGACAAGACGGTTCCTACAGATGGTATGTTCCCCGCTTTTACCTGTTCACGCGGGCCGGGAAAAAAGCAAAGTGTTAAACCATAGCCTTGTCGTCTGACACCCAAGGCAGATCCCACAGAATCTCGGAACCCAGTACAAAAACGACGAGAGCAAGTTCGTAGGGCACAAAGGTATGTCTCTAAACGTTCTCATTTCCCATGCAGCGTGTTCTGCATATGTTTGCTGCCAACAACATCCGATGTTGTTTCTTCAGGTTCCTTTAATCTAACATGACACTTAGAACCCACCGCGAGCGAAAAGAAACATACATCGCATCTCTAGAAAGCGAAGTTGTTCGCCTTCGTGCCAAAGAAGCACGTCTCGAGTCAAAAATCAAAACACTTTATGCCGAAAATAGTATCCTAAAAAAGGGCTCGACACAACAAGACGTCCCGCTACCCACAGAAACCGAAGCAGCAGACGAGATCATAAGTCTCACCGTCTTCCAAGAAAACAGCATCACAAAAAAGGGAAGCTGGCGAAAACAAATCTCCGTCACCCAACCCCACAAGCCCATCACAAACTTCTCCCAACCCGTCTCCCCGCCTTCCTCAAAATCCTCATCGCACTCTTCCACCTCCCCAACCCCCACACCATCACCAACCACCCACCTTGGCGCCCTGGACCCGGATATGATCGGCATGGACTTCGTCCTAACTCTCGAATCCCCCTGCCTCTCCCACACCGACATCTCCCCAATCCCCACCCCACACCACCCCCGCACCTCCTCCCTCCCCACAACAACCGGCCACGCCCTCACCCTGTCTGCCTGCCTCCTGCACACGCACCCTTCCCCACCGGGACACCGCCAGTACTCGCAAACGCCCTGGCGTGCGCCCCGCTCCTCGCTCTCCCACGTGCTCAGCATATCGTCAAACGTCCCGCTGGCCGATGGCGAGGTAACGCCAGTCCAGGCTTGGGAATATGTAAGACAGCATGCGGCGTTTAGTGGGTTGGAGGTGGGGAGGTGGGAGATGCTGAAGGAGAAGTTGGTGGGGGCCGTACGGTGTTATGGGTATGGGGGTGTGATTGAGAGGAAGGTGTTGGAGAATGTGGTTTTTGAGGCGTTTGTTGTTGGGAGGATCTTCTGAAGGGGGTGGGGTTATTGGAGTTTGGGCAGGTTAGGGTAGCTTGGGATGGGTAGGATATAGTGTTTTTTTTCTATTGGTAGTATTACAGGTGGTTGGAATATGGGTACAGTGGTTGATGCCACCGCTATGAAATCTAATGTCCTTTTTCTATGATCGAGTCTTTTTTATGCTTGGTGTTGCTACAGCCCGACAGTGTGCAGCCTACGTATTTGCTTCCGGATTTCTGGAGCTGAAGCGGGCGGGAAGACATCTCCAGCAGTTGGCCGCGGTCTATGCATCTGCCGTGCTGGAGTTGGAGGAGTAACATGTCGACTCGTCTCAGTAGGCTGCTTACTCACTCCACGCGGTGTACGCCGTGTTTCATACTCAATATCCTCTCCATCCTCTTCCTCAAGATCTTCTATATCATCCTCCAGCTCCTTAAGCGCCTCATCAGCCGTCTTCATCTTCCTCTGGTGCGTTCTCACAACACCACCCCACAGCGTCTCCAAATCCGTTTCCGCTCTCTTCTCCTCGGTAAACATTTGCACCACCACATTAACACCTGGCTTGGCATCCCTGAACCCGACAAACTCTTGTACATTGTCGCCGGGCATATGTGTATCTTCTGGATGCGCTTCTAGTTTGCCCAACGTACAGCAGATCCAGCCCGTGCGAATACCGTCGTCGATATTACCTTCTGGTATCGCTCCGCCAACATTCGCCAGCATACGCATTCGTTTTGCCTTGCGCCTCAACTTGATCTTCAGCTCGTTCCGGCCAAGCAGTCCTGCGGCGTTTGCCTTCAAACCGTGCTCTCTCCGTAGGTACCGACAGAACCTGTCTGCTGCTACATGTAAGTGCTTTTCTGACCTGGCTGTTGCGATGATCATGATCAGCTTGGGGCCGAGCGCTGGTGGGGGGTCGAGGTGCCGTAGGTCGAGAAGCTCTAGATCGTCTAGGCCAGCTGTGACGGAAATGTAGTCGAGGAGGGTTTCGAGGAGTGGTGGGGGATTTGTTGGGAGCGCGGGTATCTCGGCGGGTTGTTGGACCGGCAATTGCACGGATGATTGCTGTTTGAGATACCATGGAATAGAGGCATCTTGTGTGGAAGGCGTTGGCGTAGCCTGTTCTAGATTGCCGAAGGAATCTGTCGCAGGGTCGTGTGCTTCGGAATTGGATGTCGTTTGTTTTTCATTATTGCTTAGAAAAGCGAATTCAGGGTCTTCAGCTGAAGAATTGTCTTTTTGCGATCTTCGAGACAGGCTCGTGCTGAATGCGCATTGTGGAGGTTTCAGAGGCGAGGCGCGAGATGTTATGCGGTTGGTCTTTGGTATTATTGGCGATGGACGTGCGTTTGCCTTTGAGCACGAATTACAGATAAATCTCGAGGAAACAGCTCTCGAAACCGACATTTTGAAGCGCAATGGACGTGCTGCAGCGTAGGTGGCGTTGAAGTTGTGACATTTCTCGATGACATGGGATGTTTTGCCAACCCCTGCTAGCGCATGCAACACAAACGAAAGGATTATGGCTGCCGTGGCGCTGCTTTCCAGCTTTCCATTGGCCGATATGCTTTCACGTGATGATAAGACCCTTATCAGTCCCGCAGCGGGCAGGAAATTTTGGCGGGGTCTTGGTTGAGGGTGAATTTCCAAGCAAATTCGCCACACATTTCGACTCATAAACACTCAGATTATTGCTCTCCGTTTTATACCCATATAATTTCCCTCTATTACGGCCAGAGGATCTCCAACTACCTTGACCACACTGTTGCTGCCGAATCTCCTTGCCAAAATGGACGGCACAATGACTGACGCTCAGTCCTTTGCGCCTGCGCCTAAGAACGCAGCGACAATCCTCTGTGCCGACTGTGGCGCCCCTGTCGACGGAACCATATCTGGAGCCTTTTGCTACGACTGTATAAAACTCAAGACCGATGTTACCGGTGGCATCCAGCGTGAAGCCATCCTGCTCATGTGCCGTGACTGCGACCGATGGCTCTCCCCACCCTCGACTTGGGTAGTCGCGCCCCCAGAGTCGCGCGAACTGCTCGCTCTGTGCCTTCGAAAACTGCGTGGACTGAATAAGCTAAGAATTATCGATGCGAGCTTCATCTGGACGGAGCCGCACAGCAGAAGGATAAAGGTCAAGATCACGGTGCAGTCGGAATTGAACGAGGGCGCCATCATGCAGCAGACCTTTGAGGTCGAATACACGCAAAACTACAACCAGTGCCCGGATTGCGCAAAGAGTTATACACACAACACATGGAGGGCCTGCGTTCAAGTGCGACAAAAGGTGCCACACAAGAGGACCTTCTTGTACTTGGAACAGCTGATTCTGAAGCACGGCGCACACAAAGACACCATCAACATCAAAGAAGTACACGACGGCATCGACTTTTTTTTCGCACAAAGAAATCACGCAGTCGCCTTTTGCGACTTTTTGAAGGCCGTCATCCCTGTCAACATCAAGAGGTCCGAGGAACTCATCTCGCACGATATCCACACGTCAACCAAGAACTACAAGTTCTCGTTCTCATGTGAGATTGTGCCTATTTGTAAAGATGACCTTGTCGTACTTCCCATCCCACTGGCCAAGAAGATTGGCAATATCTCACCTCTGACACTCTGCTCACGCATCGGCACATCTGTTCAGCTCCTTGACCCAGCAACACTACAAACTGCCGACGTCGCTACCGACATCTATTGGCGGACGCCATTCCGACCATTGGCAGACGTGCAAGAGCTGACGGAATTTGTCGTCTTGGATATCGAGCCCTTGGGTAAGCAATCTGGACGCAATTTTCTCGCAGAAGCAACCGTAGCACGCGCGTCCGATATGGGTGTTAATGACACAACGTATTACTGCCGAACACACCTCGGTGGTATTCTCCACGTCGGCGATTCGGTAATGGGTTACCTGCTCGCCAACACAAACTTCAACAACGATCTTTTCGATGTCCTTGAACAGAATAACAAATACGCCTCGGCTATTCCAGATGTGGTCCTCGTCAAGAAGTACTACCAGCGGTCCCGGAAGAGCAAGAACAAGCGCAACTGGCGCGTCAAACGCATGCACAAGGAAGAGGGCGAGATGTTGCCTCGCAAGCAAGACCAGGAGAAGATGGAGCGCGACTTTGAGATGTTCTTGCAGGATGTCGAGGAGGATCAAGAGCTGCGACAGACAATGGCACTCTACAAGGCCCAGCAGCAGCGCGATGCCGACGCGATGGAAACCGAGAGCAGTCTTGGTGATGACGAAGATGAGGGCATTCAGATTCCGATGGATCAGCTACTTGACGACTTCGAGGATATGAAGATGGAGGACTAAACGCGCAAACGCACGTGGGAGTTTCGATCAGTTATTTTGGCGTTTTTGTTGCATTTCAAGGCGTTCCTTGCTGGAAAAGTGGTTACTGTCACTCGCAAGGATGTGAGTATTCTAGCTTGTGGTGGCTGATATCTGGCTGCTGAAGATAAGATGAGAAGAGTCTAGTTGATGGACGTTTACCCCTGTGCGGGCAAATCTGGCCGTAGACTTGCCGAAACGGGACACGCCTAAGATTACTCAATCATCCTTAGACTCAACTGTCACTGTCACGGACATGAGCGTGAGCTAGAGAGCCGACTTGACGGCAAATCTCCTGACACTACAGCGAATTCTAGTCGCAAACTCAACAATTGGCATGCCGTGAGACGGCGGTGATCCTCGTTGACGGTATATAAGCAATAACATTATGCCCCATCAACAGCTGCGACCCGCACGACAAAGTTTCCTGGGCCAGTGCATTACTCGAGCATTAGATTCCAGCCAGATCTTTGTGGGGTCATCTAGCAGGTAGGGCGTACTCCACACGGACCTTCCACGTGCGTTTCAACAGGACAGAGCTTGTGGTGGCGGCGAGAAAAAAAACTTCTAGCCTAGGAAGAAAGAAAGCCATCGCCTAACTGCGTTTTGCCAACATTTTGACAGCGGCTGAGGCGCTTGGAAACTGCTCAGAGGCTTGGTCGGTCGGCTTGACTTCTTGTATGAGAATCATTCGTATTCCAAATCTAAGAGAACACTATAATACCACCAAACTACTAGCACTGTCAATCAGGGCAACGAATTTATTTTATTTTCAAACTGAAGATCATGACCCTGACTCTGAGCATGAGAGAAGCAGCTTAGGCCACATGGCACGGCGATGTGCATGTCGCACCACTGCTGCATTGGCACCCTTGTAAGGCAAGCCACCCCGGCCTAACATCATGATGTTCGCCTGCGCCGAACGGCTCAATGACCATTTACGATACATCTATGGGACTTTGTTCCACAGATAAGTACTCCTTCGGCCCTGTCGGGGATCACATGGGCGGCCACGACCTTCACCACGGCTCGGGTTACATGGATCTGATCGCTTACCCCCGCCCCAAGACTTGTTTCCTGAAACTGGGCGAACTAGCATCTGGGTGCTGTGTGTAAAGAGGGGACGACGTGCATACTCTAGAGGCTTATTTGCCCTAAGTACCTCCAAACTGTAATCATCACCGACTCCATCCGCTGGCGGACCACACCTCTTATCTCTAGCTCCTTTAACGTCACCAGACTATCATGGCAGACGATACGCCTGCCATGAAGGATGAGTTCACCTCCATCATGATGAAGCTGTTCCAGAACCCCCCGGACCCTAATCAGCGCATTCCCGTGTGGAATCGCAAGGGAACGATCTATGGTATCACTATCCCGCTGCAGGTACCGTTTCCACCAACCCCCAACGATGAGACGCCGACAACCCAAACTAAACACTGACAGGTCCTCTGCTGGATCTTCGTCGCAGGTCGTCTTCATACACGTCTACGCGTGATCCGCGAGCCTGGTCTCGATGATCTCTTTGTCGTACTGGCCGCGCTATTCAATCTCGCCGCGCTCATCGGATTCCTGATTAGTACGTCTTGCTCTTATTTTCAGTTTTTCTTTGAAGAACATCGTCTAATTGTGTTTCTTACAGGTTTAAACTATGGCATGGGTCGTCACCTCATCTACGTTATCCCCGTGCTCCAACCAACCATGATCACAATCTACATCAACAACGCTTCGTACCACGCCACCACCGTTTGCATCAAAATCTCGCTTCTCCTTCAGTACCTGCGCATGTTCCGCAACGGCGTGCGCCGCATCGTGTGTAGGGTTGTGCTTGGGCTCGTCACTGTGTGGGCGCTGGTCTTCCTATTCATGGCTTGGTTCCCGTGCTTCCCTGTTTCTGCCTTTTGGACCAGGTCGACGGGTTCAAAGTGCTATGGCTACGGTTATCATTCAGTGGGTGAGGCGAAAGCGTCGGTTCTGGCTTTTGCGGGAACGAATATGATGTTTGATTTGATCATCTTTGCTATTCCGCTCACTGAGTATTTTCGGAACAATCTGAGGCGCAAGGAGGTTATTGCTATGACGGGACTGTTCGCTTTCGGCGCAATGTTGGTATTTCGATTCGGTTTGGCGCGATGATAGCTAACTTTTTTACAGTGCTGTTTTGATGTCGATTCTGCGTCTCTGGGCTACGTTCAGGCACAACAAGGATTCGGTTCAGAGTTTCGATTTCGTTTGGTAAGGAGCCGATTCTCTTGCTCTATAACTCTGAAATAGAACTCTCACTAACGCTGGATTGTATAGGTGGTATCCCGAAGTCATCATCATCTCCTTCCTCGAAGTCAGTTTCGCAATCATGTGCGCCTCGATGCCCATCTTCTGGCCTACCGTCGTCGCCAACTGGGGACACATCTTCATCACCAACGAAGTCCGCGTCACATCTCACGAGCGCCTCGATAGCGTTACCCAGGACCAAATCGAACTTACGAGGGCTGCATCGTTGAAGAGTGTGGATAGCACCAAGGGCTTGACAAGAGCGGAGTCTGAGGGAAACAGTCCGTATGATAGCGGATATCTCACGCAGCCAGGAAAAAATGAGCTGTTCTCCACTATGCATGTAGAGGTGCGGCCTCAATCGCAAAAGTCGCGGGACAGGCAAATACATATGGAATAATGTACAAAATCAATTGTTTCATTGAGTTCCACTTTTACTTCTTTGTCGATATTTACATTACAGGTGCGACAGATACTGGGCTAATCTAGTGCATATGCCGGCATTTTGCGCATCCAAGCAAAAGCTTGACACCACTTAGTATTTCGTGTTTCTTTTTGCATACTTAGACATCGAAAAACATTTGATCATTTCCAATGTTTCACGACAGATAAACCACGAGCTATCAAACAAATACACATCTAATACTCCAAACTTCTCCTCTTCCCACTATCGCGCAACTCCGACAACTGATTAACTTTCGCAACTTCTACTTACTTTACGATCCTCAATCCCATTACTTTATCCCCGACCGGCTCCCTGTAAATCGCCAACGCTTCCGTCTCTACTTTCCCCGCACCGTGCCTCACAATCCCTTGGAACTTCATAAACTCTAATTTCTACTGCCGACAAGAACAACAGGAACCTATACGCCCATCTCCCCCCCGTCGCGCCTTGTGGCAAAATGCAAACTTGAAACGATATTGTTTCGAAGCAAGTGTCTTTTACTTATGCCCGGCTTGACCGGCCCAAATCCATAAAACAATAATACAAAAAATATAGGCATTTTGATGTTTCGTTTTCCGTTCTTCTCTCAAGGTTTGTACACAACAGCACTTCCTGGACTCGATCGCGTGGGGGGAGTGTCCCCCGCGTGTACATGCTCAATCTGGGAGTAGCGCTTTCTCGTGTATGTTGCATAGCAGGAAAGTAGCGCGCGTTTGGTCGGCTCGTTTTGACTTTTCGGGCAGGGAAGATGGTTGTGCTGGTTATAGGTGGTACCCTGTCTTAATACTGAGCAGGGGGGTTGGTATATGTTGGGAATCGTATTGGACGGGGATCGTAATGCTTGGTTTCCGTGAACTGCATCATCGGGAGGCTGGGCGATGGCTGGTATTTGAGTTTTTGATGACGATGATATCTATGTGGGTATATGGTATAAAGTTTATTCTGAGGGTTGGTTTGATGGGAGAGGAGAGTGGTGTTTCATGATTTATAGGAAGGCTGTCTAGATAAGTGGGAGTACTTTGGAATTGCAGCGAAAATGTACTTACCTGTGATGTGCAGTAAATGCAGGCGAGCTCCTGCCAGCCGCAGGGTATTTCCTTACAAAATCTGCATGTCGTCGCTGTGATCCATTGAATCGACCCCAGAGGCATATCACTGCATACACTCCTGGTCTGGTCCAGACTCTCCATATCTCCAGAAGTCTTAAGTTGAATGCTGGACCTTGCCCTCTTGTTTTTTGTGTGTTTTACAAATCAAAAACTTTACATGAACAGTGAAAGGGCGATGCGTTCAGGTTTGAATCAAGTGATCTGGACGTAACAGCAGAGCACGCAGTGCAAACCATGCGCATCGCTATCAGGAACTGATAATTATGCATCAGGACTATTAGAAGCAAGGGGCAGAGCGAGTCTGCGATGATGTACTCTTTGCAGTGTTTAGTGCGGACGCTTGCGCTGGTAGTTTGATTGGTGTTGCATGTGAGAGACAGCTGTCGGTTTATGTCAGACGTCTACGCAACTGACATATTTGATAGTGGCCTGATTATCGTGGTTGACAGGTGATGGTTGTCGATTAGTGTCGCTGATGAGCGATGGTATGCTACCTTCCATATGATTGTGGCTGACGGGCGACTATGCGCTAGTCGGCATCGCACTTATACTTACCAAGCTGTGAATGTTACTTTCCATGGGCTATCTGTACACAAAGATAAGTAGCCCTTGGAAAGCTGCCACTGTATGATTACATGGCAAGCCAAGAAACCCCGCACCACGTTGCACGCCCCTTACGTAGGCTTGCAGTCGCACGTGTAGGCTTGGAGTTATATGATAGGAAGAATGTGTGTGTTGCTTATCTCTGTTTTCTACCTTCTTCATTTAACTATCTGTGGTGCAGTTATATCTATTGCTTCAGACTCATCTGAAGTCATCACTTCTACGGGCTCGTAAAGGCTGCGGCATATGATAATTTCCAACCAAGTCCTCCTTCTCTCTTCATATCTATACGAGTTTAAAACGACAAAACCTGTATACTAATTATGAGGGGAATCGATCCAGAGATCGTAAACACTACGCAGGGAATCGGTGAAATGGTCGACTGGCTCGTCACCTTTGCATCGCTAGATTCACACTCGCCAACTCTATGCATAGATCTCGAAGACGTGAACCTCTGCCGCGAAGTGTCCGTTTCTATCCTCACCCTCCTATTCGATGTCATTGCCCTTCGCAACCATATCTACTTAGTCGATGTTCATACACTAGGCGCACAAGCGTTCAACACTGCCGGTACCAAACAAACAACGCTAAAAGATATCTTTCAAAACGAAAGACTCACAAAGGTCTTTTTCGACGTTCGTAACGATTCGGATGCGCTATTCGCGCATTACGGCGTCGCGCTGCAGGGGGTCGAGGATGACCACCCCATCCCGAAAGTTCTTGAACGGCCTGACCAAATGCCTTGAGAACAACTTGCCGACGTCCCTTGATAGTAGCAAAATAGCTAGCTGGAAGCTAGCTAAGGAGATAGGCGAGCGATTGTACAAGGTCGAACATGGCGGCTCGCCTAACGTGTTCAACCAGCGTCCGATTCCCGAGGATATAATATCTTACTGTGTTGGTGACGTTTTGTACCTACCTAATTTGCGGAGTGGATATTGGAAACATCGGAACGATCAGTGGAAAGCCCTGGTCTGTGAAGAATCCAAAAAGCGCGTTGCGATGTCTCAAAGATCAGACTACCAGCCACAAAATCCAGCTAAGGTGATGGCACCGTGGAACAGTGAACAGAATATGCTTTTGGATCAGTGGAATTATGTACCTCGCAACAGTTCCTTCGACTCAAACGATGATCTGGACGATGGCTGGGATGATGACTGGGACGATCGTGGGGACAGCTGGAGGGACTTTGCCGAAGATTGGGATCTCTACTATTCAGACTGAGCCTCTTGAACTGGTTGCCAAAAGTTGGATACTTTGGTATCGTGTCAAAGCGTGCAAGCCTTCGCGTTAGTCATAGTGGTGCGTTACGCTTCATCTTCAAGTTACACGATGGCCGTATCGGAAGCTGGTTGCGGCTTCGGTACTCTGCATCAACAGTAAGCACATTAGACAGTGACTTGTTCCTTGAGCTTTCGGCCGTCTGTATATTCTCTTTAAAATCCATCAACAACCCAACCTAAAAGTATCAACTAGTGGCGCCCATGAGCGACAGTCGCACACTCGTGCCGCCCGCCAGTGGCAGTACTGTGGTTGTGTCGGATGTCTTCCGATCCGACCGTTGTCGATTGGTGTCGCTCCCCCCCCTGCCCCAGCGACACCAATGGGATCACGGCCGATTCCAAAGCAGGTAATCCACATCGCACCCGTCTCGAACGCATAGCTTGATCCGATGCGTACTTCAATCACTAACAAAGGCCAACAGTCTCAACTGAACGATGATGAATTCAAAGGTGAGCCAGCCATGCCGTCCATCCGACTTTCTGATGCGAGGAGACATTCAAATAACTAACTGCAGCCAATGCACAATGGAAGGTGCTGCGCGCATCAACTCTACATGGCTGCAGCAAATACAATTGTCATAAGAAATCGGAACATCTATCATCACAAAACCTTTGCCGCGAACGACTGGATATCCCCAGGGATATGGCAAGATTTTGACGAGCCGAGCCTAGTCGGTGAAGGATTGAACTACAACTCTAGTAATTGTCCCGCCTTGGCTACAACTACCGGCATTAGGCTATATGCAGGTGTCACGTTGATGCTGGTAACGCAGAATAACAGATCCGAGCTGACGAAGAGAAGTCCCCCTATAACATCAATGCATCGGGTGGTCATCATCTAGTTGTGACTTTTTCATCCTTGGATTTTAAGTGCACGCTCCAATATGGAGCACGGAAGAGACTTCCCCAACAGTGACAAAGTGACCGTGGGGGCTAAATTGCCGCATCACCATGGCGCATATCTTGTTCATCCTTCAGTTGCCTTTGTTGGTTACTCCCGGTCCTTTGGTAATCTAACAAGCGCCCCAAATATCACCCAGATCGCCAGCCTTGTACGCACTTTCATGCGACCCCTCACATTCTCTTAGTTGCTTGTTCAGAGAAGGTTATCCTTTGACACAAGTAGGTCCAACCGGCAATGTTTTCCACACCGGTCTTGAGTCTCGTTGCTGGGCTGGGCCTAGTATTCTCAGCCAATGCTGCGCAGTGTTCAGCGCGAGTTAGCGAGTTCGATTTTGTACGCACAGTTGCAATCAGAATCAGCAAGGATACAGGGCTCATGTTTACTACAGATCATTGTCGGTGGTGGCACAGCTGGTATCGCATTAGCCACTCGGCTCAGTGAAGGCCTTCCAGAACATTGCATATTGGTCATCGAGGCCGGACCAGACGGACGTAATGAAGAGCGAATATACATCCCAGGTCTAAGAGGCTCTACCTTTGGCTCCGTATACGACTGGAGTCTTCCAACTGTACCTCAGATTGCAGCAAACAACCGGACTATTGGCCATAACCGGGGAAAAGTTCTCGGTGGCACTTCTGCCCTCAATCTTCTTGTCTGGAACCGCGCTACCGTCAAAGAGTATGATACTTGGGAAGAGCTAGGCAACCCAGGCTGGGGATGGAGTAACATGTATCCCGCAATGCTCAAGACGGAAAACTTTCAGCGTCAAAACGGCTCGCCACAATATGGCGAAGATGGCGTGGGCTATGGCGGCCCAATCCAAGTCGCTTTGACCGAGGATCCACCACCTCATCTCCAGGCTTGCATACCGACCTTGACCAATCTCGGGGTGAAGGGGAATCTGGAATCATTGAATGGAAACAACTTGGGTGCCATGTATCAGCCAGCAACATACCGTGTGTCTAATCATACACGGTCGTACTCGGTGGACTATCTCCCTGCAGCTGGCAATAATCTGGTATTCATGTTCAATACTACTGTTCACAAAGTTCAGCTCACGAAGGACGGCTCCAAAGTAACGGGTGTCATCCTTTTAGACGGTACCGTTGTCAAGGTCACCAAAGAAGTCATTCTTTCAGCTGGTAGCCTGCTATCTCCCAAAATACTAGAACTTTCTGGTATTGGCCAGAAAAATATACTAGATAAGGCCGGAATAAAACAAATCGTAAACCTCCCTGGTGTAGGTGAGAATCTTCAAGACCACCTCCGTATCCAAACAACATACGAGCTAAAACCTGACGTTCCTGGCGTGGACATTCTCAAATACAATACAACACGAGCAGCCATAGAGTTGGATCTATGGAGGCAAAAAAAGACCTCTCTCTACCAATACGCCGGCAGCTGCTACGGCTTTCTAAAATGGAATGAAGCACTCGCCAGCGACGAGAAGCTGCTCCAACTCGCCAAATCATCCGCCAACATATCCAACCCCATCGACCAAAAGAAACTTGCTCTCCTAACCGACCCCAACTCCGGAGCCCCAGATCTCGAAGTCATCTTCGGAGACGGCTATATAGGAACAACCGGGTACCCAAAGAATGGAACAGTCGGCTACGGCAAGCAATACGCTACGCTTCTCGCAGGAGTCCAGCACCCACTTGCTAGAGGATCCGTTCACATTAACAGCTCAGATCCTGCGAGCAAACCTCTTATCGATCCAAGGTATTTGGGAACACAGTATGATATCGAAGCCCTCGTATCCGCAGCAAAGTACACGCGCAAAATGGCGAATACGGCACCGTTTAAAGACCTCTGGGTTTCTGAATTTGATCCTGGGATGCGCACCCAGACGGATGAGGAGTGGGAGACATATATCAGAAACAACGTCTTTACCTTTTATCACCCACTTGGTACGTGTGCCATGTTGCCGAAGAAGGATGGCGGTGTGGTGGATCCGCAGCTTAGAGTGTATGGGGTGAGGAATTTGAGGGTTGTGGATGCGAGTATAATTCCAGTGATTGTTTCGGCGCATATTCAGACTGCGGTTTATGGGATTGCGGAGAGGGCGGCTGAGATTGTGGTTGGAGAGTATCGCTGAAGGGGAGGAGAAGAACAATTCCTTATATGGAATCATGAGGGACTGCTGGGACCATGTTTCTTTGGATACACCACTGTTTTCGAAATCAATTTATATGAGTTTCTACATATGTCGTTTGTCTCAATTAGCTATCCGCTAAAGGTTTTCTCATATATGATTTGATTCTGGTTTACACTTGAGTAGATAATATTTGAGTGTTCGATTTTTTCACATCAGTGCCTAGAAAAGTATTCAAAGACGAATAAAACAATCACCATGTACATGTCAAATACACTATACGTAAACATGCACTGCAAAACTCGTACCCAGCTCCCCGGATTATCGTATATAGTAAACGATAGACAAAATTCCGAACGCCAAATGGAAACTCGCAGAAGAAACCCTCAAAGACCGCAAAACTACAAGAACATCCTATCACTCCAGCAGTTATGGCCCTACCCGAGCAAAAGACCGTACACATGCATACAGTCATCTCAAACAAAAGGCAGAAATCAAACTCGGAAACAGAGAAGCCAAACCCGATGTCTACCAAGCACCCTGGGTACCCCAAACTCCACATACAAAACATACAAGATCCCAGCTATACACCCACATGACCGTCTCCCTCACTTCCCACAAATCTGACAGCAATACGGCATATTATGCTGAAAGCAATATCCCAGATCTGAATACGCGGGCGGATACGCATACCTCACGCCACCCTGCTGCCCATATACCACGGCCCCACCCTGCATACCGATCCTCAACTGCGCCAGCGCCCTCTGATGCTGATTCACCGCCGTCGCTACCATCACACTATGCACCGCCAACATGCCCTCCAGATCCTCCTGCTGAATATCCGCGCTACGCATCTGAAACGCGTTATCCGCCTCTTGGTTCAGCGTGCGCAGGCTGCTAAGCTGCGCGACGAGTTCGCGGCGGCGGGCGGCGAGGGATGCGTTGTGGGCTTCTAGGGCTTCGACGCGCGAGGTCAGGGTGGAGATGAGGCTTTTGAGGGAGAGGTTTTCGCGTTCTAGAGAGGAGATGCGGGTGGTTTGGTCGGTTTGGATTTGTTGGAGGACGCGGAGTTGGGCGCCGAAGCCGAGGGGGATGGCGATGGGGATTAGGGTGGATGTTGTGGTGTCGAGGGAGGGGGGCGGTGGTTTTGTGGTGCGTGGGGAGATGTTGGGAGTGTGCATTGGATGGGTTGGGGGTTATTGAAAGGTTAAAGAGTGTGGTTGGAGTGTTGTGCTAAGAGTGTGATGGGTAGAGCATATGGTTGTACTGGACGGGACGGACTTCAAGAATTGACGCGTTGTTTGACAACACTTGCAACTAGCCTTTTTGACAAACGCGTGGATGGAACTAAAAGCTTTAGGCAGCAGTTATGTGGGATTTAATATGACGTAGCGGAAATTGAGTAGATGAAAGCGGTCAGTGAAGATGCAAACGGTGCGCTATTTGGCGCCACTTGAGCATAGTATAGGGTTTTCACTGCGTCAAAATTCATTACAAACAAACCCACTAGAGATGAGAAAGAAAAAGAATGAAACTGTGAACGGATGTCTTCTATTTAGCACCCAAACTTTCAGATGCATATTTAATAAAGTCTGGAGGAAGTCATCGCACGTTGTATAGCCAGCCCCTTAGACTGTACAGATAAACCAAAACCAACTACCTCAAAATCTACTCCAAGAAAAACGTCGTTAAGCTCCTCGGCTTTACACTCGCGGTAAAACTCTTTCCACTAACATTCACACTCCCCACCAACGTATTGTTATGCGTGTTATCCGCCAAATACGCCGTAGCCTTTGCAAACGCCTTCAGACTACCATTCAAACTGATATGAACCTCTCTCTCGTAGTGCGCTTCATTGATGACAGGGATCGCAAGCGTCCCATTGACATTTTCAAAGGCCGTTACCTTCAGGTTCTCAGCAGGACTGCGCGCGTCAATGCGTACGGAACCTGGGCGCGCGAAACGGAAGTAACCTGCAAATGCCCATAGGCGACGGGACACTTCAAATGTATTGCCTTGGAGACGGACAAGGATGGCGTCACTGCCGGATGAGTTACCTGGGTTATCTTGGGCGCACCACCAGTGAAGATATCCGGATGTGTGGCTTAGGACAAAAGCTTGGTGCCTGTTTCGCTATTAGTTTTCATTCACTGACTGATAAACACGATGCGACTCACATATAGATAGCCCATTGAAGTCCTTCAGCAAGCTGCCCAGTGGTGTCCCATGTGGTATTGAAATTGCCGCTTCCATCTGACCACTCCGTCTCCAAGTTCGGCTGGCCCTGAGTGTTGAATGGCATCTCAGGCATGCTCTGGTAGTTGTGCCAAGTCGCGACATCATACAACTTTCCGCCACCAGCTTGCTCCAGCTCATACAGTATCGTGCGTTCTTGGCGCGCGCCTGTAGCATCGCAGCAGGACACTTGCAGGTCCTTTCGATACTTCTTGACCGTTGGGTATAGATATTGCAAGAAATCCTTGGCCTGGTATCCGTCCGTGTCCATACTGGCATAGTAGACAGGATTGAAGTCTGGCTCATTATACGCACCAATCATGCTGACGTTGATGCCTTTTTCCTCGTACAACTTGACATATTTTACAAGATAATCTGCATATGCTTGACGCCAGTCATGAGTGCAGTTGGTCCCTCGTACACCGCAGATAAGACCACCGTTGACGTCTGTGGCACCCGTTTTGAAGCACCCTGGAGCTGACCACGCATCTGCATAAATGAATAGGTTCGGATTTGCTTTAAGGGCTTGCTGAGATAGCTTCAGTTGGCAGCTATCGGCAGTGGCATCGTTGGCTCCTAAACCAGTATAATTGAATGTAGAGGATGGTGTTGCCGGACAGCTACCGAGAATGCCGTCTGAAAGGCTTGATCCAACACGGTTACGAAGGATCGAAAGACCTCCAATGTTCTCATTGAAAAGGTAGTCGCTGACCAGCTGTTGGTTCGAAGGCGAAAGACCTTTAGACCCGGTCTGGTCGCATGCAACATTGAAGGCTCCTGAGCAACCACCACCAATCATGGTCTGATATCTGACTGTCGCATCAATAATGACTTGGACGGGCGGGTCTTTCTGGCTGTACACCCATGGTTGCGGATACAGTTGTGGAAACGGTTGAGCAGTCACGCTGCCTACGGCGATGAAAAAAAGAAGGATAGACATGGCCACTGCAGGCGCTGAAGAATATGGCAGTGTTTAGTGCTGCACCCATCTCCTTTTATTCACTTTTGCAGTTCGACTTCAACCGATGTACACAGAGTTCCAGTCCTACATGACGACATGATGATCAGCGTGTGCTCTGATTTACCCAAATGCCACGGAGGACTCGGAAGCTAGGATAAAGTGGAAACAAGCTTGTTTCTCTTCAGGCTGTGGGGAGTGAATTTGCACCTAAATCCTCGGTAATCTCCTCTTAGCGATCTAATGTTGGGCCGTCGCGGGTCAAGAGCTGGGGTAAGACGGGAGATGAGTGGGGATAAAATCAAGCTTTCTCCAAGATGATTAGCGGGAATGATCGGTGGTGGACAAGCCTTCACCGGCTATAACTTTATTTCCTTGTACATTTTAACCGGCTGAACTCTACAATGTGCTTTCCGTTGGACTTACGCAGACATTCATCCTGATAATTTAACCCAGGTTGCTGGAAGATTTACTTGTGCTAATGCAATGGGTATTGATCCTTCAATATTGGTTTCGCCCCAACCGCAATCTGCTTCCTTTCTATTAAACGATACGATGGGTGTTGTGTAGTCCTTTTGCGCCAATCTTCAATTTTGAGTAGATGATTGTTATTTCCTTGGGTTTGGAAGGTCATGGATTCCCCAGCTCAACATCCCCTCATGATGGTGGCCAGTTGCAAACAGAAGCATCGCAGAGTCAAACATCGAGTGTGATTGGTTAGCATATTTCCAGAAGATCCGAAAGATCCGAGAGAAGATTCGGGAGGGTATGAGTCTTGCTATTCATTGAGCATCGTGTGGACGCCTGGAGTCGTTACAACACAAGTAACAGCGAGCCGACAAGTGCTTTGAGTTCAATGACCGAACGATATTGATCTCCGTCGATTTAATTCACTCGTTGATGACGCGTCTGATTTCTAAGTCAAGGACATTTTTACCAACTATCCCAATGACCTTGTCATTACCAAAAGGCAAAACTCTGCGCCGTATATTCTCCAGATTCTAGAGCTGCAATTATCTCACCGTCCATGAGGCCCTGTACATAAGCCTCGCCTAAAACCAAGTAGTCTTCACCACAAGGGCGTATCACGAGCGGTGTACTACATCCAAAAACGATAGCAACGAGGTCGCCTTTTTCCGTTTGTTCACCAGGACCACCGTAGATGTTATCCGGTGCCCATCCCAGATAGCCTTTTTCTGTCGTCATGAATCGTCGTTTTTTGCAGCTGCGATCAAAACAAGAGTATGCTTCAGTGTAGACGAATTCAGAAGCATCTTCCGGAATCTCCTCTGAGAAGAAATCATCAAATCGGTAGTCGCCAAGTGGAAAGTCCCGCATACCAGCTCGAAACTGTTCCCAGCGAAAGTAATATCCTTCTTGGCCAGCTAAAAATTTCCATCCTCTCTGCTTGAATTGTGGACCTCCGAGAGCAAAAGTAGACGGAAGATGAAAAATGGCAGAATGCTGGGGCCCGGATCGGTGACCGTATGCAACTCTGTCGCATATCAGGGTACGATACAAAGCCTCCGCAGTCGCGTTGCGATCGCCGTACACACTCTTCCAATTTTTGGGAAACACGATGCTCGTTTCACAGCGAGAAAAGTACCCTGTTCCACGAGCCGATAGGCCAGAGACGGTGTCGACGATAACGCCCGTACATCGTAACAGTAGTCCGCCGTCACCAAATGATGCATTGTGCTTCCGGTCACCGCTTGCATGATATTCCGAATTGTGCCTACATCCAGCGTCACGCGAGAACAGGTATGCAGGACCCCAAATCTGTTGATCATGGCGTGTCCATCTGATTCTACCGGGCCACGACCAATCTGCTGCCCACGTCAGGCCTCGAGCAGGACCCCAGGGATTTCCTTCTCGAAGAGCGTCCAAGTTGTCATCGAATCGTATAAAGGCCCTGGCTGCCTCCCTATACACCTTCCATTCAGGTAATGTATAATCTGGATTCAAACCAGTTGCGACAGCAGGAGCCATCAGTCCAACCAAGGCATACACCTTACCCCTCTTATCTGTACAGTCACCCGAATTTGCAAGATCCAGCAGCCTTTCAAAATTGAAGTCTGATATCTTTCGCGCAAATTGTTTGCTGAGAACAGCGAGGTCTTGGTATACGAGATGCAAGCTACTGGTTCGCCATATATGCTCTGTGTAGAGGCCAGTGTCGAGGACAGCCATTTGAAGGCATTCGTCTTTTACGAGCCAAAGATACTCTTGAAGGACAGCGATTCCATCACAGAAAGTTTCCCATGCTATTGTGTGTTGGCCACATCTGATCCAGGTCGCTGTGGAGCCAACAATAACCTCTTGGATGATCCACAGCCGGAACCAGTATGGGCGATCCATCAGGTCTTGAAGTCCGATCCAATGGGTTCCGCCATAAAAACTTGGATCTGCCTCCAACTGAGCAGTGAATTCAACAATTGATCCGCTCGCCTTGATCTCTGCAAGATCACGTACAAGCTGTATCGCTGCGCTGCTTGAACTACTCTCCTCTCCTAGCCACGATACGACTGACCATGCACTTCCGTATATGTCACGCATCATCTTGATTTGAGAAGATCGCTCCTCGAGATCGTCCTGGTTGATACAAAGCGCGTCAACCCATAGCTTGAATTGGTCGTAGAATTCACACCCGCTTTGAAACATGCGTAGGGCCGCTTCCAGGTTGGCAGTTACGGATGTTTCATGGCCATTGAGCAATATGGTTCGCTTATCATCTTGGTCACCCCAAACATATGAAAGGGAAGCAAAGTCTCCCCAATTGAAGCGATAGAGACTGGGGCTCGGCCGAGTACTATACATCCGTTTTAGAGGAGCCAGATTGGCTAGCTGCGGGGAAAGCCGACTACTTGTCCAGTTTTGCGTGGTGGGCGCGGCGGTATCATGCATAAATTTGAGGTAATCTGGATCAAGATCATTGAGAGAGTATATCTGTAGGCGGCAGTGTACAGGCTGTGAGTGGTCTTTGACTCCAGGCAAAATACTCAGAAGCCGTATCTCGCGATTTTCCGGGGTGAGTTTATGATAAATTGGCTCTATCGATGGGCTTTTATCTGATACTTGAAGCGCACCATAGTATGCGGAGGGTTCCTGGGGCGATGCGTATGTTGAAGAGCCAATGTCTATGAAACCACGGCGAGGGACCGTCAGGTTGACGGTTGGACTACCCATGCTAAGCTGGAAGGAGACCTTGGGGGCAGATGGCAGTGGAATTGAATGAATGCATCAGAGTCAGAATTCGAAGGCTTCTAACTGTGAGTCAGTCTGAACTGGCACTCTTCGAAGTAATCGACGTTCCAGCTGCCTAAATCATCTGCTCAGCTGAAGACTTGGCGAACATGACCAATCAATATCTGAGGCGTCCGCATCGGCCTTTGAGCAGCCGAAGATTGCATGGTTGGAGTCGCGGGCAGCATGATAAATTTGCTGCAATAGGAGCGCGCGGTGCGGTCAAGGTGAAGGTCGGATCAGGTGTTTTAGTGATGCAGCGCCGTCGGACCCTGAAAAACCACCGAATTCGTGCCTCGGAACGGCCTCGGGAAGTCGCGTCATCGTATGTTCATGTTTGTACATACATATACATGCGCACCCACCACCACATTCTTTACTCAACATAGCTGCTTGGAATCGAACCCCTTGCGCCTCTGTTGCATTTGCGCATTAGACTCTTGTTTCGGCGACTGACTTTACCTCCAGCTCTAACATTGCCCACCATGTCCAAGCTATCGCCATCCCTCAAGTCGCTCATCAACGCCGCACACTCGCGCCCAGGGCCTGTGCCAGCGCCCGCAGGAATCCAAGGGATATACAACCGGATAGAAAAGGAAGCCACAGAGCGCAAGCTGGGACGCCCATCATGGCTCAGCATATCCACCGCCGCAACAATGACCATGAACTCGCCCGAATCCATGATTGCCCTCTACCACAGCTCGAGCAAATCGCGCCCAGAAAGTGAAAGCGTTGCGATCGCAGAATTTATGCGCGAAATCGGTCTCAAGTGTATCGGTTTTAACGGCGTAAGTAATCTACCCTAGGTTCAAAAGAAAACATGTTAACGCAGCCATAGATTCCTCGCACAATCAACATGCTGAACGCCTTCCGTGCGGCTCTCCCAGCCTCAGTTGCTTCATCACTGAATAAAACACCTACGCGATTCCCCGACCCATCCAACGTGGAGCAAATAAACAAGCGTGGTCGCGAACTCTGGAACGCAATCTACCGCCCTCTGGAAACAAAACTCGAACAGAAGCTTGGAGAAGCGCACCCGGATCTACCCGTCTTCATCATAAACAGCGAGTACGGAGGCCTCTTTACCGATCCCCCACGCAACCAAGGTGCAACTGTGGGACGTATCACAACGAGCTTGATCGCAATAACATGCCTAAGGGCGCAGCAGGGTGTCGGTCCACAAGTACTCAGTCACGTTTTCGGATTGAGAAAATCATGGGAAGATGGAACTTGGAAACAGGAGCCGGAAGCTGGTGAGGAAGAAGGAATCAAGTGGCTGGTTAGCGACGAGGGATGCACATGGGTGTTGGAAAAGGTAGATGAGCTTGTACAGGCGCTTGGTGGCGGACAGGGAAGCACTTTTGCGCCTGTTAAGGCGAAATTGTAAGGTTAAAGAAGTATGTGGATTGTTATATATACCCCAATGTTGTTGACTCGACATTTCTAGAACGTATGCATATGTAACTCATACTTTCCTTCACCCACTTCCAGAAATCTTGGCATCAAATGGCTCAGCAATCGAAACCTGACCTGCTGCTGCCGTATCCAGCGCAACATTAGTATTCAGCTTCTTGGTCTCTTCCGCAAGCTTCTCTGCTACATCTTGGCCCTGTGCCTGTTGAGCCTGCAGCTTGAGTACGGTGGCTGTGAGCTTGAGGACTTTGTTCTTGATTTTGCCGTTCTAGTAAGACATTAGTATGGAGAAACTCGACGGAAAAGATCTTTGGAGAGGGGGAGAGAAATAAAGAAGATATAACTGACCTGAATTTGTGTCGCCTGATCCCCACTCGCGGCCGCAACCGCCGGGTTAAACGCCTCCGTCTCGGCATCATTCGCAACTTGATTGACCTCGTTCAGAAAGGTCAAATCCGCCTGATCGATATTTTCCGGATTCTGAAGGTCAAGTCCGGAGAAGAGAGCTGCTGCTTCGGCTTTCGCATTGCCAGCCTGCCCACCAGAAATGGAGATGGCATTGTATGTTGTGTCCTTGAGTACGGGCCCAGCTTGTCGTGGTACGACTACAGGTGCGGCAAAGCTGAGCGCGCTGAGGGAGAGGATGGCGAGGGGTGTGAAGTACATGTTGAAGATATATGAACTGGCGAAAAAAGGTATCTGTATCTGGAAGTATAAAAAATATAGACAGCACAGCTGAACCTCTTAACAACAAAAAAAAGGTATATAAGAAACAAAACGATCAAGCCTCAAGCCGATTTCGTTTAACCAAGGAAAAAAAGATGCTTGAGCGATAACAAAGAAAACTTAAGAAGAAGGGATCGTTCATGCGTTTTTGTACACCCACCTTAACCCTCAAAACACCCCTTCTCTCACACGCGCAGAAAACTCATCTTCCTCAGGCTTTCCTCTCAATGCCGCAACAGCCTAAGCGTGCCTGACACAAAACACCATCTCAGACACCCCCACCCCTCTTCGACTCGCGCCTCGGGAACAGGCTAACTAGAGCCACAACCCAACCCCAACATCCACCATTCGGAAAAATTTAACAGTAAAAAAAAACGGAAGGAGATGGCGCCTAGGTGAGCGTGCGCAAACGCGATACGTCGCCAATCGCTTCCTTCGCGACCGAGAAGGGCAAAGTGGCCGCTGGCTGGGGGTGGTGCTGAAACTATTCCGCCATGTCAGACCCGTCAGGTTTAGGGATGCGGTGGTAATGCGTTGTGAGTCTTGGCGCAAAAGGCTTAAGTTTATGACTTTGACAATACTGCGAACTACATGTATCGAGAAGCAAAGAAAGGAGGATACATATTAGACATTCTTCTCATTGATGTTTTACACGCAGCGGAAAACGAAGGCATCGCCTTAGTTTCACCCGTGTCCGAGTCTATTCGTTAAGCGTATACATCATATTCATACCTCCAGCATTGCCTTCATCTAAGCACCTCCATCCCGTCCAGTCAACATAGCACCCCGTTTCCTTATCCTCTCCTCAACCATCCTCTTACTGTACGCCGTTGCATTGCCACTTCCACTGCTAAACAGCGCGCTCGCCTTTGCGTAAACTGCATCCGTGTACCCAGACACCGGGGCCGACCAATCCATAGTAAAGGCGCTGACGCTGATGCCGCCACCGGCAACAACCCACGTCTCGTCGGGAAGGCTGGCGTCGCCGTTGTACTGGGCGTTGATGCCTGCGGCAAGCGGGTTGACGTTGTCCCAGGTGAAGAGACCGGTGGTTTCGTTGTAAACAGCGACATCCGTTTCCGCGTTTCCTGTAAGTCTGGTTTTGAAAACGGGGGGTGAGCTCGTGGCATTGGTGAGTTCGGGGATGTTGACGTTGACGCCGTAGCCTAGTGGGAGCACTTTTTGGCCTGCAGGCGTGTTCTTGATGAATTCGTTGACGATGCCGAAGGATGCCTTGGCGGCGAGAACGGCTGGGTGAGAAGGGCCTGTTACATTGAAGTAGGGGACTGCTCTGTTGCTTGCGCTTGTGGCGATGCCGGGGATGGAGCGCGAGATGGCGGCAAAGGTTGAGCCGACGGTGCCGCTGAGGGCCATGACGAAGGGCCCGAGGTTAGTGCCGTAGTTGGGGCCCGCGACGAAGAGGTCTGCGGTTTGCTTCCAGTCTGGGTAGTAGCGGGGAAGGACGTAGTCGAGGGCTACGAAGGTGCATGCTGCGGGTGTGCCATCGTAGTACCAGATGTTGTCGTCTTTGGGATCACGACCGACTGATGGGGCGCCTGCTGGGATAATGTTGTACTGTGAGGGCATGGTAAGATTGGCGGTTTCTGCCCAGACGACCGTCGTGCCTTTTCCGGACTGTTGTTGAGCGGGTGCAACGATGAGCACTATCCCGTACCGTCAGTGGTGTCTACGAACAACGATTGAGTAAGCTAACCTTCATGACCCGCATCAACCAGCATCTTGTACAACTCTCTCAGATTGCCGCTCCCGAATCCATCATCGTTTCCCATGAGAATCTTCAGCGCATCCGCCGACGCCGCAAGACCCAGCGCCGCCGTCACCGCCGTACTCAATTGGAATCGCATCTTGAACAATCCGACAAGCAACACAAGCTCAAAAGCTTCATATGGACACAACCAAGCAACCCGCCCAAGCCTCGCCTTTATATCCCCCATTCTCCATCCCCCAACCACCCTCTCCCGCAAACCCGGCTCACTGCCTCCATCCACCTACGCCCTAAACACACTGGCGGCGATAGTCGCTGCAGGAACCACCGACGCGGCGTGCCCGATACCGCGGGAACAACGCACCTTTTGCCTTCTCACCTGCGCTCGTTGCGCGCCGTGATTCGGTGTTGATAAAAGAGCAGGTCGCAGGGATAGGGTTAATTGGGTCGGCTAGCACGGATGTGGCAGGAGCAATTGCGGTGGGGACTTGTGGCGGGACATCGGGGGTCGGCGAGAGGGACGTATTGGGGAATGGATGACGGGCTGCGTGCATGGTGGATGGGGGTAATTCCCCGGAATTAGAGCCGCATGCTGTATCCGCGGAAAGGTGGAGGTGTGTTCGGGCGAATTGGTTGGATTGCTTGGGTTGGAGAAGGTCGCTTGGAGGACTTGGACTAAAAAGGTTGGCTGAGCTTACGTCTAGTCAAGTATCGTATCTTCTCTGTTCGATTGGTGTCAAGCCGCGCCAACGATGAACTTGTTTTGATAAAACTGCTTCGTACACTATGCTCGTAAAAATTCCCATCTTAAATAGCTAACCTGGGTATCTCCCACAATGAGTACTACTGATAGAGTACCAAATCTCACGCCTTTCATGACCTCAATTGCTTTTATCGGATCCTCGAAAATCTTCCATGTCGCGCCGTACAATGCCATCAAATCCCAGAATGAACGCCAGCCTGTGCTAATATGTGTAGTTATTGTTGCCTCCATATTCCATGCCCGCTTCGTCACCTAGATGGTCGACATGCATAAACTCGTCAATGGAAAATGGATCCGGCATTCCTGCATTCATGGTAATCTCCATTCCATCATGAGATTGCTGTGCCTGACCCATGGGCTGGCTTGGTGGTTCCAGACCCTCAATGATACGCGTACCCTTTGGCACAGAGGCCCCGAAAGCGCCAATGCGATCGGGTTGTGGAATACCACTTCCTTTGCCCTTGCCTGTCGCATCTCCGCGGGCGTTCATCCAAATGCCGTTACCTCCCTCGCCATTCTTGACAGCCTTGGTAAAAGGTTCCTGGAAGATGAGACTCGTTTCATACCAACGCCCTTTGATGTCGTCAATATCCAGCTTGTACGAGGGCTGGATAAGTTTCCACCATGCAGCCGTGCGCGTTGCGGGTACGAGCAGGCGGTTCCGCCATACCATGTCGTGGATCATGCGAGAGGGTATGTTAGGGTTCTGTTGTGGTGGTTTTGGAGGAAGATTCGGGTCTGGGGCATCCAGTGTTGCATAGCTATACACATCACCCACTGCGATCACCTTTGGATTTGGCTGATTGGGGGGTGGGTTGGCGAGAACTTGTTCGATAATGTCCGTGATGACCATGAGATCGCTTCCAGTGGCGCCTATGCGTAGACGAACGGGCTCGCCCCTCCAAATCTTCTCAGCGCCTAGGAATATGCCGTTGTACTGTCTGAACTCGTTCCCCTTGTCATCCTTCGAAGTCTTCAAGCGCTCAAAGAGTGTATATGTGGTATCAATGGCTTTGGCTGCGAGGATAGATGCATCAACAGAAGCAATTCCTTCGCCACCCTGCCCATTGATGAGTGCTCTCCAGTCAGTGTTGCCATACTCAAACTGTGGGTTTTGCTGCAGAAAGGGAAACGTGCAACTAGGCGCGGACCAAGCCAACCACGGCTTGATATGCTCATCGGTGTGTATAATCTCCTGTGGAAGGGACTCAAATGGATGTGAGAGCGGCTGAACTAGGTACGACCTGTTCATGGGGTTCTCTGCCAGAGCCCATCTTTGCACGACAAGCCCAAGACCCCAGGCAGATGTCTTGGGCCTGAAGAACCACACCACCTCTCCTGTTCGACACAGAAACTTGTTGTAAGTGAGATCCGCTTGTTGCTCTAGTGACCGTGGTTGCGGAAGGGGCGTCGATTGTAATGTCGGAGGAGCCCGAATCTGCGGCGCACTAGGAGTCGACGTCTGCACTGGGACAGGTGTAGCTGGCTTGATGATGGGGCTTGGGATTGGCGCGGTCATGGAGGTTCGATGCACAGGTATTTGTACGACGGGATTCCGGCCCACGACATTGCCATTATTGATGTTTGGAGCAGTCCCACCGGAGCTGTTTTCTCGCTTGAGAGGCACTGGCTGCTCTTGCTTGACCTCGACCTTGGGCTGAGGCTTCTCAACGTCGCCCGCTGGAGAGCACATTTTGCATGTGCAGTTGGTCATATCGCTGTTCTCGTCTGTGCATAGCCACAGAAGATGGGGAAAGAACTCGACAGGGCTCCTGAAGCGTTTCTTAGGGCCTTTGGGATAACCATAGAGGTAGGCATCCTGGCGATCGTGACCGCCGCCAGAGTGGTTCTTCACAGTCTTGACCTGGCCGTCTGCCTTTGTCTTGATGTGCTCGTAGAGGACGTAGTTGTCGGGAAGCTCCCACAGAATGCACTGCTGCCACTTGTCTGCCAAAAGTCAGCTTTCTGCCGCCCGCTAGCCCGCGTGGCTTTCTCTTACCCTCATACTGCTTGCCGCCAATCTCGCGCAAGAGCATACCGCCCAGCTTCTTACGCCAATCCTGGTGTTTGGGATCATCCTTCTCGATCAGCCGGTAAAAATCACGCTGACCCTGGTCGTTGGGCGACATGTTGAGCTGCTCTTCGGTCGGCCCGTTGCGTATGGGCCTGCCTTTGATGTTGACGACATGCTGTCCGTCCGACTTGGAAGCGAATATGGGCCAAAACGAAGTCATGGGCTGCTGCGCCATGATGAGCGACAGTGATGCGCCGGCTGCGCAGGGCTTATCGGATTCTTTGCTGGGCGTGGGGAGACATGCAAGAAGGGTTTCGCGACTGCATGGCGAGATGCGTCGGATTTACTCGGCTTTATGGACAGGCGCGCTAAGACGCGTCCGCCTCCTCTTCCAACTTCGAAGTTGCCCCCCAGAGGCCTTGTTCAATCTCAAAGCACTCGTTGGTTTGCGAGACGCTCTTTTTGGACATGCCCTTCACCGGCAGATTCACTCCTCACCGTTCACTGCTTCGATCAAGACTCTAGATCCATTGCTCTGTAAACTTTGCTTTGCAGAGTTACTTTTTCCGACATCACTGACCCTTACACCTGGCTTATTTCAGAATCCTGTTTCAAGCTGAAATAGCAAATCACATAAGACACCGCATCTTCCGTCATGGTTAGAAAATCCATTATAACTCTAGGCTCTCCCCAGCCCATTACTCCACCCCCAAACCGACGAGGTGGCCATTTGCAAGATCTTTTGGCACAGTTTGGATCTCAGAGCTTAGTAGAGTCAGCGACCAAGAAAAGGCGACTGTCGGCACAGCAGAAGAGTGAAGAAATGAAGCCGATTCCTATTCGGGACAGTAGAAGCAAACGCAACCCGCCGCCTCAAACGGCGCAACACGACGTCACCTCGGATTTATCGGCAGTAGAGCAGTCCCCTGTGACTTCCAAAAGAACTACTCGGCAATCGGCTTCAAAGCCAGCAGACCCAGATCCAGAAGATAGCGAAGACGAACTCGCGCCATCGGCCCGCCCCCGCAAGACGAGTGCGAGAATATCGGCATACACGGAGGAGCTTAAGATGGAGAAGCGCAAGAGGGAAAAGGAGAGGACAGAGGGACTGCGACGGGGTACTCGGGACCGGAGGAGCGCCATCCTGGAATCTGACACCATACCTATAACTACTTCATCACGACGGCGGAAGTCAGCGCCACCCCCTCGGAAACTCGACACCGCTCGCAACCGGCTTCGCGATGACATCGCCAAAGGCACCAGGGCTAGAGCGAACAGTTTTCTTGTCGCCAACAAAGAGTTCTTTCTGCCACTTCTGCCCAAGAACAACTATGTCACGAAGCTGGTAGAAGAAGGCAAAGCGCAACCTATTATCGAATACCAAGAGCTCAAGCAGCAACCCAAGGGAGTTACAGCCGTCATGAAGCCTTACCAGCTGTCTGGTCTATCGTTTCTCGTTCACCTGTACAACAACGGGTTCTCTGGTATACTCGGTGACGAGATGGGTCTTGGAAAGACGCTACAGACTCTTTCTCTCTTCCAATACCTCGAAGAGCTCGATGAACAGAAGGGCGTCGTGTCAGAAGAACCCCGTCCATACCTGGTCGTCTGTCCGTTGAGTGTGCTCAACTCTTGGGTAACGGAAGCTGAGAAGTGGGTGCCACAGCTCGGAGTAATGCGGTTTCATGGCGCCGTGAACGAACGGACTCGTCTTAAGCGGGTTGCTGCCGGTTTAGAAGACATGAAAGGAAACGAAACCTCACGCGCACGAGATCGGAAAGCATTGCGCAAGGCCGGCCAAAAGGTCTCCAAGCTGCCTGGCCCTTCTGACTCTTTCAAGATTGTCGTGACCACCTACGATGTCTTCCAAGCCGAGCAAGCTTGGTTCAAACACTCTTTTGCCTGGCGCTATGTTGTTCTGGACGAAGGCCATAAGATCAAAAATAGCTTGGCCCAAATCTCCACCGCATTGAAGAGCATCAATGCCGAATACCGACTGATCCTGACAGGAACGCCGCTTCAGAACAACATGGTTGAGATGTGGTCACTCCTGACTTGGCTGTACCCTACTGTCTTCGACGACAGGACTGAAGCACTGTTCCGAGAGTCATTCGATCTTAGCAAAGGCAAAGCAAATAAGCAGACTATGACAGATGCCCGACGCTTGCTCGAGCTGATTATGCTGCGGAGAATGAAGGACTCTCCATCGGTCAATCTCGGTTTACCACCCAAGGAAGAGGTGCTTCTTTACGTGCCCCTTACACCAATGCAGAAGTTCTGGTACACACGTCTCTTGACTCGTATCGATGATGGCATGCTGAATGAGCTCTTTGCTGATGGCAAGGAGAAAGAGAAAGCTGCTATTGAGCATGATGTCCAGGAGAACAAGCTACTGCAACAGCTGGAGGAGATGGACAAAGTGATCAGCACTGGCAGCGTTGGAGATGAATGGGAAGAGACTGCAAAAATTGTGCAGGATGCTGTAGCGAAAGAACAGGCCGACGCGAACGCCTCAAAAGGAGCTTGGAAAAAGCTTATGAATCTCGTTATGCAGTTGCGCAAATGCTGCTCTCATCCATACCTGCTTCCAGGAGGAGCCCCAGATCCCTACTACCTTGGTGATCATGTCATCCGCGCTTCCGGCAAGTTCATTTTGTTGGAGAAACTTCTCAAGCACACGGTCTTTGAGCAAGGTAAGAAGGTTCTCATCTTCTCCGGATTTGCTCGCACACTCGACTGCTGTGAGGACCTGCTATCTCTTGTCAGCAACTACGGTGAAAAATTCAAATACCTTCGGTTGGACGGAAGCACGGCTAGGGCTCGTCGAAACTTGGATATCCGCCTTTTCAACCAGAAAGATTCAGACTACAAAGTCATGCTTCTTTCTACTCGCGCGGGTGGCTTAGGTATCAACCTTACCAGCGCTCAGGATGTCATATTCTTGGACGAAGACTGGAACCCACAAATCACTCTCCAAGCCGAAGCGCGGGCTCATCGTATCGGACAGACTAAGAAAGTAACAATATACAAGCTCTGTACCCAGGGGACTGTTGAAGAGCAGATGATGGGTCGCATCCGGAAGAAGCTCTATCTCTCTGCGAAGATTACCGAATCCATGCAGAACGTACATGGCAAGCAAGCAGTCGCGAAAAGATCAGCTGGGCGTCCCTCCATTGATGAAGACATGCCACAAATGGACACATCGCAACTAATGACACTTGTACGGCGAGGTGCACAGACACTGTCTCATCCGGAGATTGACGTAAAGGAAATGGTTTCTTGGGATCTGGAAACGATGATGAAGAAGTGCCGTGACCAGTCTGCTGAGTTGGCTGACACGACACAATTCGAGGTTGACGAAGACAAGTGGCTTTCCACCATGGAGCGCGTCGAATGCGCCGTGTTCGAAGGCAAGCGTCATCAGCGCAACCTCGACAAAAGCTCCAGCGCAGATACCTCCTCTAGAAATATCCTACCAGAAACGATTACTCGGGAAGACCGCCGCACGAACAAGAACACCACAATCATGGTAAATGGCTATGCTATCAATAAGGAGTCCATGAACTGCGGAGACTGGGAAGCTGTGCCAACTTTCGCCGGCAAAGACCCACGTCTTGCTGAGCCAGTCCGAGAAAAGCGACGCGAGTTCAACCATGAAGATCACTGCCTTGAATGCTTCGAAGACGCCGACGCTGGGCAGCTCTTCGAATGCAAGACCTGTCCCCGAGTCTACCACTTCGACTGTCTCGACGAACACTATCAGGGCAAAGTCAAGGGCCCTTTCAGTGGCTTCCATTGCCCCCAGCACAACTGCACGGACTGTGCAAAGACCACAGCCGATGCGGGCGGTCTCATCTTCAGATGCCGCTGGTGCCCTCGGGGCTATTGCGAGGACTGTCTTGACTGGGACAACACCGAGCTTATCGGTGAGAATCTACCTGAATTCGAGGTCCTAGGTGAACACGCAATGTCAGGTGGTTTCTACGTCAAGTGTCCGTCTTGCGTTAAATCAGCCAAGGAGGACCCAGAGCAAAGGGCGTGGATCGAGGAAAAGGAAAAGACGTACAAGGAGGAGCATGCTGCTTGGTTGCAGGAGCGTGAAACGGTGCAGAGCGTCAAGATTCAGGATGACGACGAAGCTAGTTTGCCACCGGGGCTCACTGATACTTCGCTCTCGACTCCTGTGCTTGGTGAATCTGGAGTCACTACGCCTGATGCAACGGAGACGTTGTTGCCAATCCCTACGATTACGAAGAAGAGGAGTCAAATGTTTGATGAGACTAGCGACAAGAAGAAGAAGACCAAGCGTGGCGTGTAGTGTCGGTCATTGGTCTCTTGATTACATGGCATTCATGACGTGCGAAAAGAGAGTTGCTGAAATGTAGATGCGCTGGTTCTTCAGTTGCATTTGAACTACCGATGGTCATATTATAGGGCCAGGAGGGAGCCAGGCGGGAGTTACAACTCTGGTTTATATACCCATAGAAGTTTGATGGCTTTTCTTTTCTTTTCTTTTGCTGCGGCTGTCTCATATGACGAGTCGCGCAACATGTACATTAGATTTACAATGATGATCTTTCGGAAAGGCATCTACCGTGCATACTTCTTTGAATCTTCGTGGTTAGCATACGAATCTCATCCGGATATCGCTCGACTCTAATATCATTTAGCATTCACCCACAAAATTGTTGTACTACGCACCTACCTTCGCTACTTTTCATCAGACCCCTCTTTCGTCCCTGAACACCGTCAGGCACCTGCACATCATTCCTCTCGAGAAAACCCCACTAACCAAACATACTACCCCCACCACCCCCTCTCCTCCCACCCCTCAATGCCTCCTTAATCAACCATTCCCTCAAAAATTCCTTGTTCCGCATCTCCTCGGGCCTCGTCAAGCGTGTATCAAATTGCGCTTCCTGCCGACTAAACGCCAGCAACGTCGGCATACTACTAATCTATCCCGTTTTATTAGTTTTTCATCCCCTCCCCTTTCCAGTGAGAAAAGAAAATACATACTCGATACCTAATCGGCAAATCCTCAATCAACACCGAATCCATCATCACCTCCACATACCCCAACCCGCCCTCCCCCTCCCCTACTTTCTCTTCCTCAATCAATTTTCTGAGCAGAGGCTTGATAGCTTGGCATGTCTGACACCACGATGCGGTCCAGAAGGTGATTAGGGCGCGGTTGTCGGCGGCGTTGAGGAGAGTCAGGGTGTGTAGGTCGTTGGGTGAGCGGACGGGGTCGAAGATGCGGTTTGTGGGGGCGCGTGAGGAGGGGAAGAGGGTGAAGGGGCGCGAGGCTGGAAGGGAGAGGCGGAAAGTGGAGGGGCGGAGTATCATCTTTTTTTGGCGGCGAATTGGCAAAGTGGTGGTGTTGGTGATGTTGTGGTGGTTTGGACAATTGGAATTTAGTGGTTCGCGGTGACGCGTGGGGATGGGGATGATGTCATGGATGCCAAGATTTTGGATGATAGGTCGCGTTTCCACGTGGTATGCCCGTCTACGTCCAATGCTTGTCTCGCGTGTTCCTGGCACGTTTCGTAACATCGAGAATATGATTAACTATGCATTTGAAAGAGATGAAATTCTAAAAGAGTATCACGTGTACGAGAACGGGAATTCTGAACTACTAACATCCCTCCCCAGGCCAAGCGCCAGTTATGGACTCATGTATAAGCGTCGGTTAGACCCTAATATCCTTGGTGCTTCTTCACAAAGAGCACCATAGACAGCTTTTTCGATGACTGGTGCTGTGATGCTCATAGCCGGCATTCCAGTTGCGATCCAGATCGGAACGCCGACCAACATCCCGGCTCCTGTGATGGTACCTATACCAACTCCAAGAGCAAGACAAACACCACTGACACCCCAGCCCACCGCTGGCGCGGTTACGGCGGCTGACACTGTACTCGCGGTTGCGTGTGAACATATGCTGTTGGGAACATTATTCGCAACACCGTGCAAAAGTCCAGCCGGCGCTGCTGGAAGATTGAACTCAACATAAGGCTTGCCCTTGTGCTTCCTTCCTTTGACTTGAAATGGCTGAAGGCCATCCGGGAAATGTAAGGGCTCCTTGATGGAGATGCGGCTCCAGGTGGGGATCGATAAGTGGAAGACGACATCTTTTCCACATTGTGCCCTGACACCTTGCATGTACTGACATAAGGTGTCCAAGTTATCTGACTTGGCACAAAACGTGGGCGGAAGAGGGTCTTCACGAATCAGTCGACGGAATGCTCCATACCAGTTTGTGTCAGGATGATACACAAAGAAACGATGCTTATCCGCCTCAGACTCATCGATGTTATCAATTTCTTCTCTGATAAAATCGTAGACGTGCTGAGCAAAACCGTCAGGGCCTCCGCTGCCAGATACGGCAATGCTGTTGCTCTCGCCAAGATGATCATTTATTTCGGTCAAGATCCGGATTGCCTTGTTTCCCTGAGCGATTTGAATGGCTGAGGCGGTTTGTGCCAACGTCTGTAATAGTCGATCCGATCAACGAGCGATTTTCCAATCACGTGGGTTTGGTGAACTTCTCGGACCACACGGTCTGCTGAATCGGCAGCCCTTTGCATGTTCTCAGCTGGAACTCTGGCACTTGCTGCAACTGCCTCGGCACTACGACGCACAGAACCGGAAGTAGCCTTATCCAATACTGCGGGTTTTGTATCGGTGTTGTTGGCCATTATGATGTTTCTGATAATACCAGCGACCTGGGAGAAGAACACCACTACCGCATGGCCCCGAAATTGCCGAACGCCTCCACTATTTCAGGCGACTGTTGCACAAGGTTTGGTAACATCGACGCAATCCTCTTCCTGTGATCTTCGGGCAGCTTGATGAACGCATCATGGAGAAGGTCGACGTAAGCCTCGTGAAAGGGTAGGTCCGGATACCGCTCCTTCATCAAGTGTTGCAGTTCGACCCAGTCCACATACGCCGCAGCGTCCATCTTAATATTTTGAAGCTTCTTAGGTCAGTTTAGATAATCGCTAGAGATCAACACTAATGCAGGAGGTAGGTAGTGGACATGAAGGAGCAACCCGAAGAGTACTGTGACACGATGCAAGACCAAGCTCAAAATGATAAGGGGGGACCCGCAATCGAGCTGGGTGGAACAGAGTTGAAATACAATTGCTGTACTGTATTGAGTGGAGAAGGCAGTGTATTCACTCCGAAAAGGAACCCCCAATATATATCTGCAGTCTGATCACGTGACAGTACACCACAGTACATACGGATCTATTGTGATATCTTTGAAAAAACCAGACACTACACAATACAACACATAATACGCCTGCTAAATTACAGCGCCTTCTACAAGGTAGAGGTAGGAAGAGAGCAGGATAGGTAGTGCCTGGCGCGGTTATGCAAGGTGATAATCCTGTGTCACATTACCAACCTTCATCAGCCAGTCAATAAGTGGCACGTAGATATATTCCTTACACAACACTACACCCCCTCTTGAATTCATTCGTATCGCGAAGCTGATTGGAACTACTGATACGCATGATCTACCTTTGGATTCTCTTGGTTGGTGTTTTTTCTTATCGACATGCAAGTCTCAGGCTCTGACGGTGTCCCTAGACCTCTCGAGACGCGCGCCACGCTTGCCTATCATCATCTCTCAATTCTCTACTTCAGACTGGATCTGATACAATCAGTTACTAAACCTCAAAGTACCAATCGTTTATCCGGTAACAGGGGACATCTGGTAACCTAGGGGGGAATATCAACGTCCGTCCATGTGACGCGAGTCACTCTCCCTCGCGAGCCACATACAAGGCAATGAAGGTTGAAAGCATCATCAGCTTGCAGCGCGTGTATAATTTCGTCATTCAATACAAGAATATTATTACTTGACCATCTTTTAAATATATGTTTGCTATATAGCGTATTAGATTACATATCCGCCATTTCGTTGGCCTGTCTCTCCTATCTCATCTCTCTCGTCTCATCCTGACCACCAATCAATTTCAACTCCATCTCAAATACAAGAATACTATAGTTTGGTATCTTCTACATCTCTGGAATGTTTGTCACCCGAAAGATACGCAGACGTTGTCCCCTTGTCGCCGGTCTGCGACAAGAGACTATCTGGTGACGGTTCAGAGAATCCTCACTGCATCGCTAACAAGTCCATCTCGCAATCGCTGATAAATACAGAACCTTAGTATCCCAGGCGCCGAATCGGCCTATTATATTGATAGGCCGCGCTCGGGAGTTTAGAGCAGGCCGACCTGATAAGATGACTTTCATACTCTTCTATGATACTTCTACCTACCCACTAGTGCGAATATCGCCTGCACACTTACTATCGCGATCTGGCAAGGTTGCACAAGTAAATCAGAGACCAACTGCGTAAACAAAAGCGTATATATAATAGCCAGCCCCTACCAATTCGTCGTGGTTCCTGAGTATCCACACACAGAAAACCCTTGAGAGTATTAACATAGGGGCTACACCCTAACAAGTCATTTAAAGATGCTTTTTAGGCGATGTAATTTGAGATGTGGCTCGCGTCATAGGGATGGACGCTAGAAAAGATGTACTTATTATATGACGCTTACTACAGCAAAAAGACAAACCAGCTAGCTACCTCCCAATAATCCTACACATCCAGCGGAGTCAAATGACCAAGCAGCCGCCGCTTCTTCCTAGCCTGACCTCCTGCACCCTGCTCACCCTCACCCTCACCATACCGATCCAAGAACCGCATGTCCCTCTTCCACTTCCTCTTGATCCCCCTACGCTTCTCCAGAAACTCCCCTTCGGCATCATCAACACGCCTCTGCAACCCAAACAAACTACTCAAACTATCGCTATCATCTCCGCTGCTCTCTTCAGTATGCTCCCAGGTACCCTCTCCGCTCTTCTCTCCGCTCTTCTTCGCACCAATCTGCACAAAGTTATTTGAATGATCATACGGCACCTGTGCCAGACTGTGCTTCTCTAGAACGGTATCTAGGACTGCATACTGCTCCCTGATCCTATCCCCCAGCGCACCCTCATCGCGTTGCACAACGGTACGTTCGAACCGGTGGTTCTTGGGTACAGCATCGAAAGTGCGCTCGACGGTGAGCTTATGCCAGAAGAACCACGCGACAAGCGTTCGCCAGTCTAAGATACCGGCCAGAGCAGCTTGAGTAAGCGTGTAGGCCTGTTTGTAAATCTCAGTGGTGAACTTAGCTTCGGGGTTAAAGTGAAGTCCCATAGCGATGATCCAGGCGTTAATCAAAACGTGGTGACCGCACTGGAACCCACCAGCCATCTGTTGAGGAAGGTTTTCATGAACGAAGGCTCCAACATCGAATTGCACAGCATTGAATTCGTTGCGGTGCGTCGACCACTTTAGCGCCGCAGCAGCGTTTTCCACGCGCACAGAGAAGAAGTCCCGAACGTCGTTGAAGACGCGGAGGCAGCTGTCGAAAATGTAGGTTTCAAAACGCGTCTCGGCTGGGTTTTCTGAGTCGTGGTTGATTGCTTCTTGGACGACTACGAGGAATGCGTGACCGCCTGCACGGCCAGTGGGAGCTGTGTATTTCTTGCCGTTTGTCCTAGCCCAGACTTCCAGTTGCTCCAGTAGTCCGTTTTTGGTGGCGACTAGTGGGATAAGCCAGGTCCTTCGCGGGCGCGAGAAGGGAGTGCCTTCGATCCCGTTCAGTGCTATTTGGAGGGTGGTACTGGTTGTCAAGGCAAAACCACCAGCAAATGGGTGCTCCGATCCTGACGCTGCGTGCAGGCCTGACTGCAGGTTGTCGATGGCCTCTATCACAGATGCCATGGCAAGGTTCAGATCAGAGTCGTCCATGAGACGTTGCCAGTCATTCGGCCTCACGGTACCCTTGTTGTTCAGCATTTGCTGGAGCTTGGCGGTCTTTCGGATTTGGTCGTAAAAATCAAGGGTTTCTTCGATCCATTCACAGGGCTCCCTTTGGATGTTTGAGTCCATGCCTTCGTAGTGCGAGTTGATCTCATCTCGGATTACTTGTAGACTGGCTTCCTGCATGGCTGCAATAGACTGTGAGTTTGCCGGTGGTAGTCTCTTCAGGCAGTGTTCTACTCGGGTCTTCGCCAGATTTCTAAAGGCTAACTCAATTTCCCTCTCCCTATTGTTGATGTCAAGGAGACCGAAACGCTGCAGTCGTGGTATGTGTTCATATTTCATTGTGACATCAACCCATTCGTCGGAAGGAAACGCTTTCTTCCCGTTATGCGGTCTTCCAGTCATTTTTGGAATGCGGTTCGCATTTTGCATGCGTTTCAACGCCTCAGTCTGATATTTTTGCCTAGCCCAGTGCAACTTTTCCGTAGCCAGGAGGGTTGCCAGCTCATCA